TCAGTTGATAAGTCTGCAGTTAGTCTGATACGTTTTCCTTTGTAGGTTATCTGTTGTTTTCGTCTTACTGCTTGAAGGATTGCTTCTTTTGTATTTACTTTGCCTAGTCTGATAGTTATATGATGTGGTGATTGCCTTTTCACATTGAGTCTCCCAGGAATTCTGTGTGCTTCTTGTATCTGGATATCTAGGTTTCTGGCCAGGCCAATCATATTTTCCTCTAGTATTCCAAGAAATAGATTTTCCAGCCCTTGTGTATTTTCTTCTTCTCTCTCTAGGATGCCTATACTTCTTATGTTTGGTTTCTCTACATTTCTTGTGTGTTTTGTTCTTGTCTCCTGCTTCTGTGTTCTTTTTGTTCATCTGATTTGTTTAGCACATAGGTGTTATCTTCAAGCTCTGAGATTCTTTCCTCCGCATGATCCAGCCTATTATGAAGGCTTTCCACTGTGTTTTGAAGTTTCTTGAATGCCTCTTTCATTTCTGGGATTTCTGTTTGGTTCTTGCATAATATTTCAATTTCTTTAGAGTATTTTCCATTAATTTCTTGTCTTGTTCTCATGGTTTCTTTGTGTTGGGTTTCTATTTTCTCTTCAATTCCATTGAGTTTCTTTACAATTCATATTTGGAATTCTTCCTCCATCATTTTAATCATATCATCTAAATTAGCATCTGATGTTAAGGGTCTCATGTTTTCTTTTTTGTTTTCCTCACCTCCCCTCCGCCTCCTGGTTTCTTTTGGGGGTGCCTTTTCTCTCTGATCTTTCATATTTTCTGCATTCTTTCTTTGGTTCTTTCTCATCAGTGTACTTGGTTAAGAACCAGGAGTGCTAGGACTGGTTTTTGGCCCTAACTTCAAGCCCTCGAGGGACATTCCTTGATAGTGGTGGGAGGAGGTACGCTGGTCTTATATTGCCTTAGAGGTATTTTGGAAAGTTGGGTTGCCTCTGATCTATTGTCTTCACCTCTTGCCAGTGAATATTAGTGAGTTTGGTCCCCCAGATTAAGCTCCCAGGTGGTGAATTGCACTTGTGTGTATGACTCCACTGCCCTCTAATAGCTTGAGCTGGAGGGAGCCATGTTAAGCTATAGGGTTACCCTCTCTGTCTTTGGTTGTAGATCACATGGAGGAGCCAGTTATTGAGGTAATCTGATCCCTCTGTGTTGCTCTCTGGTACCCTGGATGAGGAATACAAATGCCCTGATCTTTAAGAAGGGTCTTGCCTCTCCCAAGGGTTATTTGGACCCTATTTCCCCTTAAACTGGGGGTAGGGGTATGGCAGATCACAGCTGATGCCTTCAGGCCTGTGTGTGTGTGCTTCTATGGTTGCTTGACCTGCAGCTAGAGGGAGCCACTAATATATTCAGGGCTTTTTCACCATGCTTGGGAGGCTGATTGCTGGAGTTGCTAAGGTCTCTGACCAGGGCTTTTCTTCCTGTCTACAGACCCCACTGTTGGAAGCCATCTGGATGTGGTGAGCAAGCCCTATAGTTATGGTCTTATTTGATGACCTAAGCTGGTCTGGCATGCCAAGTCAAATGTGCTGTCAATGATTGTACAGCCTCCAGGTCCCACAGCTTCATGCCAGTTGCACAGGGAACATGGCTTTTCTCACTTCTCCCCACCTCAAGGGTGGAGCCCCTGTGCCCAAGGCAAAAGTCGCTGGGCAAGGGAAAGAGTGTTTCCCAACCACCTAGCATACCAGCCTGTGGGGACCCCTCTGATGGGGGTCTCCCACTGCTAGGGAACTAGCACTGGGGAAGCACTCAAGTTCGCCCACCAACGAAGGCCGAGCTACCAGGGAGGACAGGTCCCAGAGGAACAAGCGGCTTTCCTCCCTTCTCCCACCTCCAAGGGCAAAGCCCACTGCACTGGTGGGAAAGCCCCCTCGTGGGACAGGGTGCTGCCCAAAACCACAGCACGCTGCAGCATCTGAGCTGTGGGCCCCAAAATGGCAGCACCACCCGCAGAGAGCTAGCTCTGGGGGCGACCGCTCAGGGGTTGGCAGGTACAAGTTCAGCGGGCTGAATCCACAGGACACCATCATCTCTTGTGTGTCACAGTCCCGCAATCCTCACCTGTCCAGAGAAAAGTCTTGCTCTTTCTGCTCCACCCCAAGCCGGCTCAATCGTCAGTGGTTTCCAGGAGCAGAGCCCCTTTTCAGTGCTCACCTCCTTTTTTCTGGCCCCACTGACCACCAGAGGTGAGATGCCTGTCTCCACACTCCTTCCTGGGGTCACAGGAAGTGATCACTGAGACCAGTCCCTCCACCACCCAGTAGTCCTGGCACAGAGCACCAGGGAGTTCAAGATGTTTCCCACTATTGTCCCCTCTCCACAGAACCCACTATCTCCTGCTGCGACCCTGCACTAACTTTAGGCAGGTCCCTGTCTGAGTGGTGTGGGGGTCAGTGGGGAGCCGGGCGTCCTTCCATGGGTCAGATCCCACTGCACTCACCGGACGGGCCGGCCCAGCAGTCCTACGCCCTGTTCTCTATTGTCCATCTGGCACTCGCCAGACTTTGTGATCCTATCTCCCAGTCACCTTTTTCTTTTTCCAGCTTTGTGTATCCCATGCTATTTCTCTGCAGCTTCGCAGCGCTGTTCTTGTGGGGAGTGATCCACTCGTGTGTAGCCGTGGGAGTTCTTCACCTCCCTCCTGGGGGCAGAGCGCCAGGAGGTCACCTTGACTCTGCCATTTTTGCTCTCCCTAACTTTTACAGTTTTCTATATGCTGTCTTTGTTTTCTTGCTTGACTTTCTGGAAGGTGTCCCATGTCATTATCTTTCAAGCCTCCTACCAAGTTTTTCATTCCTGCTCTCATATTTTTCATTTTCAATAGCTCTCTTTTGTCCTCTAAATATTTCTCTTTTATAGCATTTTATTCTTGTTTTGTAGATATAATATCTTTTCCTATCTCTTTGAAGATATTAATATGTTTTGTTTGTTCTGGTTTCTCCCTGCTTGCCTTTATTTCTTCTGGGTTCTTATTTTTACCTATATTTCTTTCTCTTTTATGTTATAGACTTTCCAAATATAATTAATAATATTTGGTTGTCAATTCATATTTAAGAGTGAGGCCAGGTGCGGTGGCCCACACCTGTAACCCTGGCACCCTAGGAAGCCACAGCAGGAGGATCACTTGAGTCCAAGAGTTCATGACCAGCCTGAGTAAGAGCAAGACCCATCTCTACTAAAAATAAGAAAAATTAGCCAGGCATGGTAGTACACACTTGTAGCCCCAGTTAATCAGGAGGCTGAAGCGGGAGGATGGTTTGAGCCCAGGAGTTCACGGCTGCAGTGAGCTGTGATGAAGCCACCACACACCAGCATGCACAACAGAGCATGACTCTGCCTCACAAAAAGAAAAAAAAAGGAGGGGGGGAGCTGTTAAAAAGCTGATTAAAAATTCTGTGAGCATGGGTGGGGCTGCTGATTGGTGGGCTTTCCTGGAAGGTGATTTAGTTGCACTATTTTATTGGGATACCCTGACTGCAGCATCTTCAGATATTTTCTCTTGTGCTGGTTGATCGCCCAGAAGATAAATGTCCAATCTGCTGCTCAGAGGGTATGATTCTGGCTGCCAGAGTTCTGAGATCTTTGTGAGAAACAAGGTTGAGGAGTCTATTAATATATAGACATTAACTTCATCCCCCTGTTTTCAGCACAGACTCCCTCCCTTGGCTGGTCTTGGGGTCCCCCAGCCCAGGGTTCTAGAAGATGAGCCCCCAGTCTTCTGCTGGAGCGAAGAGGGACAGAGAAGTATGAGCTTTTTGACTGATCTTCAACCTGCTTTCCTATTTCCAGCCCACCTTCACCTTCACTTCCAGGGGTTGCTGTTGCCACCAGTTCTGAGCCCCTTGGTGGCTCTGTGGCGTGCTCATGGCTCCGAGCCTCTCTGCTGCTCAGGCTTCAGCTTTCTCAGCCTTGCTAGTCCACCCAGTCCTGCGTGCACTTTCCAGGTCCGGGCGCGCTCACTGCCCTCCTCACTCACCTCTGTGGGTCTGCTCCTCTCTCCCCGGGCTGCAGGCACAGCAGAGGTGTGCAGCCACTGCCTGGAACCGGGCCGCCGGGGAGCTCTTTCTTGCCTGCAACCTGTTTGCCTCAGCACCCTGGGCTGTGCAGCTCATTTGTGCGACTTTAAGAACCAAGATCAGATATGAAGAAGCTGGGGCGAGGCAGGGAGTCGCTCCTAGAAGACATGATGTCCTCCCAGGAGCTAGGAACACTCCTTTGAGGATACTTGCCAAAGTTGTTTTATTTTTCATTTTTCCCTCTTATAAAAGAAGCATGTAGTCATTAAAGAAAGAGTTGGAGAAAGTAGAAGACGACTTTTTTTTATCACCTCTGTTTCTACCTCCAAAAGAAATTTGTTTGCATGTTGTTATATTTCCTCCCAGGATTTGTTTGTCACCAGAGCTTTGTCATCACAGCAGGGGATAGGGTGAGGGTCTCACCACCCACATCACCACGGGGTCTGCCTGTCTCCATGAGGGAGGGACCTGCTACACCTTCTAGGACTAATTACTTAGCAGCAGGCTCCCTACTGGAGGGCAGAGAGGGCCCAGGAGGAGGAGATTCAACAGAGAACAAGATAGAATGTTGTCTAGATGCTCTCGTGGCAAGGGGTGGGGGAAGGGCTAAAACAAATACAGGGAAGACAGTGGAACCGCAGAAGCAAAGCTATTAATGCTTAGCAGGAACATGGAGGCTGTATTTGACAATTAGGAAGGAGTCCTGGGAGAAGGGAGAAGAGGTCTGGTTAGGGAACATCAAGGGATGAGGCTGCGATGTGTGCTGGGCTGTATTGTGGTAGTTTGGGTGCCTGGCTAAGGAGCTTGCCCTTAATTCAATGGGTATGGGGCTCCAGCATTGAAGGGTTTGGAACAAGGACATGGCAAAGTCAAGGCCACCTGCAGGAGCCCCAGTGTTGTAGGGCTTCCTCTCTGGCCAGGCTCTGACAGCCTCCTTCCCCACCCCCGCCCGCTCCACGTTGGCAGGTGTAGACGACGGCGCCGACATCCCTAGGGAGCTGGTGGTAGGCATCTATGAGAGGATACAGCAGAAGGAGCTCAAGTCCAACGAGGACCACGTCACGTACGTCACCAAGGTGGAGAAGTCCATCGTGGGCATGAAGACAGTAAGTGTCCTCCGCAGAGCAGCACTGGCCACACAGGGGTCAGCTTCCTCCCAGTTGCTGAGCCACACCCGTCTCCTGTCTCCTCTCCTTACCTTCCTCCTGGTATCTCCTCCCTTTCCCCTCCTTCCCTTTCAAAAGACTTTGAACCTTTCCTGCTGTTCATTCACTGAATGGTTACTAAGTGCCTACTGTGTGCCAGGCGCAACATCCTCTTTTGTCCATTGCCTAATTTCCTCATTGCCTCTGGCCACCAGATGCTGCAGCAGGAGAGACTGAGGTGAGATGTCAAGAAGGACTGCCCAGTTGTCTAGGGCTGAAGCATCTGGGTGGCCAGTGGGGAGGCTGAGGATGCCTTTCCTAGGACATACCAGCCATTCCTGGATGGTCCTGATAAATAGAAGGCAGGCAATGGGCCAGAGTAGGCTCCGGGCTGTGTTGTCTCAAACCACTGAGGTGCCCCATTAGTTGTGACTGTGTCCCAGGCAACATGTCCCAAGCGTGCAATGAATTTTAAAGTGAGCGTTCTCTATAGGTCACCACATACTGTGTCAGCAGAGGCACTTTGTACCATAAATATAAAGGATGCAGAGAAGTGTCCGGTTCCTCCTCCCTCCATTGCTGGCTCAGGGACGAAGCAGTTTGGGAGAGTTGGGGACCTCCTCTGAGGCTCCGCACCAGGCACCTCCACCCAGACCGTGCGGGGCTGGTCTTTTCTGCTCTAGAGCCTTGATTGCTGAGGTCCTGGTACCTGTCTGGCCTGCCAGTGACTGGCTTGTCTTACACACTGGGGTAGACGTGAGGTGTCCCTGTGAGCCCCTCACTCTTGCACACTTGTATCTGGGCGTGCAGTAGGGAAAGTGAGGAGGTGTCATAGCTGGAGGCCACAGTGACAGTGGCTGGACTGAACGACCCGAGAGCTCTTGCCGTGTCCTTCCCATTCACTCCTGACTCCAGCTCAATGAACCCCTTCTCCCGTGGCCTTGTTCCCCAAGACACCTGAGGAGGGGAAAGAGTCCTGCATGAGGAGAGAGGAGGTTCAGGCCCCGAAGTGAACCAGAGCCCCTCCCTTCTCCCTGGGGATCGGGTGCTGTGGGTGGGGCGCTGTGGTCTCTGGGGCTCCTCCAGCGGGGAGCTGAGCGCCGTCCTCGGTCAGGTGCTGTCGGTGCCCCACCGGCGCCTGGTCTGCTGCAGCCGGCTCTTCGAGGTGACGGACCTGAGCAAGCCGCAGAAGCAGGCGGCGCATCAGCGGGAGGTGTTCCTCTTCAACGACCTGCTGGTGGTGAGCACCCCCAGGACCCCAAGAGGGTAGGGGCGTCTGGGGGTTCCAAGAGAGGCTGCCTGTGTAGGGCTGATGCACCCTTTTCCTAGCGCCTTCACCGCGCGGTGTGAGGACGCTCAGGCAGGGACGACAATTCCTACTTCACAAGTCCTGAGGCAGAGACGCAGTCGAGGTGGAGATGAGCCTGGCCCCAGCCCGTCTGCCCCTCCACGTACAGGAAGCCCAGGGCAGGGAGGGCACGGCAACACTTCACCTGGGAGAGCTGGGACCGAGTGGGCAGGCACTGTCCCTGGGCCTGGGAGGGCTGGGGTGCGTGGGCGCACGTGTGCAGGAGTGCACACACACGTCTGTGGGGTACTTGTCCTTTGCTCTTTGAAAGCAGGAATCCATTCAACAGATATTCATCACATCGACTGTGCCAGGTGCTGTTCTAAGTGCCAGAGACAGTGCAGAGCAGGGTTTGAGCAGACGTGTCCTTCCTGCCTTTTCCTCCCCATCCGTGAGCCACGCAGGCACTCCATCTAAAGCGATCCCAAGCCTAACGACCACCACCCCACTGCATTCTAGTCCTGCCGCCAGGGACAGGCCTGGCTGCTGCCATCAGCCCAACACGGGCCTGCTGCCCCCAGGCCCACCTCCCCCAGCGGCGGCAGTGATCGTTCGGGAAGGCATGGCAGGCCACGTGACCACCCTGCCCAGAGCCTACCCTGCTCCCCGTGCAGTGACAAAGTCCAGACCCCACCGGGCCCAGGGCCCCGCCCTGCCACCCTGCACCCGCCTCGGGCCCCATGAGCCGCCTCCTGCCGGCCAGGCCTCTTTCTTGCCACTGCCTCTGCTCGGAAAGCTCCTCCAGAGCTGCATGTCACCTCTGCCTCTTCAGCCGTGTGTCACAGCCAAGGCCTCTTCGGGGAGGCCTCCTGCCCACCGAGCAAGGAAGGCTGCCACTCACTCTCTCTTTTTCACTCGCGTCCTTTTCCTTCAAAGCACTTAGAGATTCTAAAGCTACCTTGCATATCCCTTTCTGCACTTTGTTTTTTGCTGCTTTACTAACTGATCAACTGATTTCCACCTGGCGCACGCCTTGAGGGCAGGGGCGCTGCCTGTCTCCCGTGCTCCCAGAGCCCGGGCACAGGTGTGCCAGACAGGCAGCGGGCTGACTTTATCAGAGTGAGTTTTCATTTCAGTAGTGGAGAGAGAGAGAAAATAAGGAAACAAACAAGATAACAGAGCTGAGAAGGTGCTATGAAGACAGTAAACAGGGTGGTAGAGAGTACCTGGGGTGGAGGGGGCGGTTTGGGGTTTACTTTTTAGGCAGAGCGTCAGGAAGGTATCTCTAAGGAGGTAGCATTTGAGTTAAGGCCCAAGTAGTGAGAGTGATCCAGGCGTGCAGAAAGCTGCAAGGTGAGCAGTGGGAAAGGCCACCAGAGCAGGGCAGGGGTGTGGGTCAGCATCCACATGCAGAGAGAAGAACCACTGGCAGTTTCTATGCAGTGAAGAAGCATATTTGGAAATAGTGTGTGTGTGTGTGTATTTGCATGTAGATCTGTGTGTATGCATGCATTTAAGACTACGTGTGTGTACATATATGTCAGTGTGTATGTTTATTCATATGTTCACAGATCTCCCTGGGTGTTCCTGCATCCACATGTGCACACGTGTGTTTACATGTGTGTACACCCATCAGTGTATGTCATTCTCCCTTCCTTGGCCAGATTCTCAAACTCTGCCCGAAGAAGAAGAGCTCCTCCACGTACACCTTCTGCAAGTCGGTCGGCCTTCTGGGCGTGGAGTTCCACCTCTTTGAGAATGAGTGTGAGTCTGTGAGAGTGGGTGGATGACCCAGAGATGCAGCGGGGGGTGAGGGAAGCTGAGGGAGAAGGGCTGGTGGGTGGGAGGCGAGTGCCCACAGACCCCATCTCCTCCGCTGTCTGGCTGGCCCCAGCTCTCAGCTGCTGCTGCTCACAGCCCACCGGGGCCTGGGGTCTGGCTTCCAGATTACTCTCATGGCATCACACTGGTGACCCCGCTCTCGGGCTCTGAGAAGAAGCAGGTGCTACATTTCTGTGCCTTGGGCTCAGACGAGATGCAGAAGTTCGTGGAGGACCTGAAGGAGTCCATCGCTGAGGTGACGGAGCTGGAGCAGATCCGGATAGAGTGTAAGGACGCAGGGCGCTCGGGCTGCTCCAGGCAGTTGGCAGGGTGCATGGGTAGGCTCCGGTCTAGCAGAGGCAGGGGCAGCTTGCAGACAGACACCCCCGACACCTGGGAGCCGCCTTGTCCTGCCCTTGCCCCACTCGGGCCCCTCCCCATCCCCTGACCCCTCCGCACCATCCCGGGCTATCGATCCAAAGAGCCAGTATGAGCGCACAGCTTCTCACGGTCTCACAACGAAAGCTAGGCACGCATGTGTGCACATCTCGCTGGGCACCTGGGGCTACAGATGGGCACCTTGGAACGGAGACACACAACTCTGCTGTGTCTGACCAGGATGCCAGGTGAGCTGGCGTGGGCTGGCATGCAGACCATGAGGTCCACATGCTCAGGGCTTTTCTTCCCACCAAACTGTCTCTTGTCGCCTTTCCCCAGATCTAGTCCAAGTCCACATGTTGCATCTGGTTAGTTTCACTTCTTTAATCTTATTTAACCTAGAATCGTCCCTCCACTTTATTCCTTATAACATTGGCTTTTGGCAGAGCCCAGGCTGGTTTTCTCACTATCCTTCATCTTGCAGTTGTCTTTCTGTTCCTCAAAGGAATGCCTAGAGTCTAGATTGTTCCAATCCAGGAATGTCAGAGAATGCATGGGGTTCTCCATGTGTCCAGGTGGTTCCCCCAGCTGTTCTCTGGGTTAGAGGAGAGCAGCAATGGCCTTCAACCATGCCCCTCTGCAAGCGTTTACTATTGAAGCATTACAGTGGTTTCAGGTAGATTTTAAGGGAAAATTAAATAAGAATGAATTCAGAAAGTAAGACAGAAAGTTAAAAATGGACTTCAGGTTTGCTCATGTGGCCACTTACTTGGAAAGTGTTTATAAATTAATATAAACCTTTAGGCAGCAGGAAAGGCAGTGGGAGTATTTGAGCAGGGGACCAATATGACAGGGTGGTACTTTTTAGTCATCATTTTTGAAGCACCTACTATGTGCTAGGCAGTTTATTTATATTCCACCAATCCCCACAGTGATGCTGCAAGGAGGGTGTCTGTCCCCACCCACAGACGAGGCTCAGAGAAGGTAAGTAGTGTGTCCAGGTCATGCGTATCAGAGGTGGAGGAACTGTCGTTTGCATTTAAATCTGATTCCAAGGTGCATAAACTTCTGAGAGTGAGAAGAGGTTATGTTTATAATTTCCTAAGAAAACAAACTCAATCGCAGTTAAACAGAACTGCACAGACAAGGCGTGCAGCTCCAGCAACAGCTCGGTGGGGAGAGGTGCGTGTAAACTCCCTTTCCCAGGCTGTTGGCTCCTCTGAGTTCAGTGGTTTAACAAACAGACTCTTCAAGGGCTGGACTGGATGTCCAGAGAGGCCACCTCCCTGTCATTCTGGAACATTCTCAAGGATGCACTTTGAAATGGCTTCACTTCTTTTGGTGTCAGAATGTCCCAGGTGGCCCTGCACTGCGCGAGGCAGCCACAGCACGTCACCTGGCGCAGCACTGCGGCAGAGGCACCTCCCCCAGCCCGGAGCAGCACACGCGTCCTCCCCAAAGCAGCAAAGGAGTGGATGCTGTCAGAGGCCGTGAGCCAACAGGCTAGTGGGTGCCACGGGAGCAGGGAAAAGGCCACGCTTGGCTCTTAGTCTTCAGATGCAGAGAAAGGGAGGGGACGGCTAAGGACAAATGAAGGGCTGTCCAGGGACAAGGAAGGGAAAAAAGTCAGACAAAAAGAAAATGAAAAATGGTCCCAGCTGCCATTACTGAGCACCTTTTCATGCCAGGCACTGGGCTCATTGCTGAGCCCATTAATTCTCACAACTTACCGCGAGTTCCTCATTTTACAAATGAGGAAACTGAGGGTAACGAGCTTAAGGAAGTGGTCCAGGTTCACATAGTCAGTGACAAAACAAGATTTGCACCCAGGTGCCCCAGTCTCCGTGCTTGTAATTACAGCGCTAATTTCTCCAAAGCCAAGAGACCCCTCTGGGGGAGAGAAACAGCTCTCAGTTCAGCACAAATGTTTGGTATGATTGATGGTGTGACTCAGGCAATCAGGACAGATTGTCCTGGTTTGGAGGTTTGCAGTTCAGTGTCCCTGGATTCTGGACAACCAGAAAGACAGACAGCAGAATGTGGGAGAGTAGCTTTGATAACAGGAACTTGAATCATGTCTCCTGGAGGAGAGAGGACCAAGGAGTGATTTAATAATGACTGTCAGACCTCCAAGGGTGGTGGCTGGCAATTCTGAAGCACCACTGAGAAGAAGCAAGAGGTTTCCAGTCCAGAGAGGAATTAAAGCTTAGTGCCGAGACAGATGTCCTGGCCACACAGGCTCTGCGGCACTGGCAGGTCCTTGGGCACATGGACTTTCCTCCTCGGGAGAGCTCTGAGCGCCCTGCAGAAGCCCAGCAGCTGAGGCGGGCTCAGTCCTGCCAGGTGCAGGGTGGGTGGCCATCACCAGCTGTCACTGAGGTCTGTCGTGCCAAGGGCTTTGTGACGGAAGCTAGGACTCACGGTTAAACAGAACTGCACAGACAAGGCGTGCGGCTCTGGCAACCGCTCGGTGGGGAGAGGTGCACGTAAACTCCCTTTCCCAGGCTGTTGGCTCATTTGAGTTCAGTTGTTTAACAGACTCTTTTCAAGGGCTTGACTGGATGTCCAGAGAAGCCACCTCAGCTGTTGTTCTGGAACATTCTCATGTGCCGGGTGACGTGCTGTGACTGCCTGGTACAGTGCAGGACCACCTGGGACATTCTGACACCAAGAGGGTTAAACAGGGGGTACTGCCACAGCCAGGCCTGGCTCCAAGTGCTAGACATGTACCTCTTCATGCAATCCCGAAGTGGGCACACCTGTCCCTTCAGGTGAGGCCCAGAGAGGTTACGGAGTTACCTAAAGCCACACAGCTAGAGAGTGTTGAACCAGGATTCAAACCCAAGCAGCCAGCCTCCCCCGTACCTGCCTCTCCTGCTGCCTCTCTGACATTTGAGCAGGTCTCCCCAGCCCCACACACAGATGAACAGACCACAGCTCTAGGGGCATCCAACTTGCTGTTCGGCTGTGGCACCAGCCCCAGTCCCTGTTTCGCAGCATAAATGGGAGGACCTGCCCTCCCCCTTTCTCGCCTTTCTGCTCTCTCCTCGTTTCTTCTCTCACCTGCGTGTGGCCGGGGTTAGGGCTTCTCTCGTTCATAGGTTTCTCCACCCCTTAGGGGAGCTGGAGAAACAGCAGGGAACAAGGACGCTGTCCTTCAAGCCCGGAGCCCAGGCGGACCCACAGTCAAAGCAAGGATCACCTACAGGTGAGCGTGGGCGCCGCCCCGGGGCCTGCACCTCGGAGCCACCTGGCCCTGGGCTGGGGCTGTGGTGGGAGAGGCGCGGTTGCTGCGGCCTTGCTCTCTGCCGAGCAGTGCCAGCCGCGCGCTCTTTATTCTCCTGCGCTGTGGTCCTGGACTTGAGGGCGCACGTGCGAGAGAAATTTGTCCGTTTTGCAAACTGCACCAGAGCTGCCACGTCTGTGTCAAATAAGTCCTGCCGTCTGGCCCCTCCCTGCGGCCAGGCCCTCTGACACTGCTAGTTCACTAGGGCATCAGAGCGTGGTCAAGAGAAACCCCATGAGAAAAACTCCCCAGCCAGGAGCCCGGTAAGAAGGCAGAGTGGCCAGAAAAGTCTGGAAATCCGTCCCTGCCCCATACAGCCCTTTTGCTAACGAGCTAGAAGCACTCTCTAATCCCAGGCCAGGTCAGCCCAGTCCAAAATCCAGACATCCAAACTCAAACTCAGCCGAATCAAGTCAGCTTCAGACTCCGTATCTCCTTCAGACTCTGTTCTCTAGCCCTGCTTCCTCCTGTCCCTGATGTTCCCTCCCTTCTACCTCCTGCCCTGAACCTTACTCCCCTGAAGGGTCACAGGAAGGATTGCCTCCCTCCCCCAGCCCCAAATAAAGAGAAGGAGACAAGGCATGAGAAAGCAAACCCCTAGGCCTGCTGCCTGCCTGGTGGTGGTTTCCTGTCATGCCCAGAGCTTCCCAAGAGCCTGCTGCCCTCACAGGGCCCGTGGCCAGGGCCAGCAAGACCCCGTCTGAGCTGAGGAGCTCCAGTGGCTCCATGGCCACAGCCCTCTGTGCTTGGCCCTCACGCCTGACTTGGGACAGGGACCCACCATGCCAGCGAAGACATGTGGTTCATTGTCCAAGCAGGACATGGACTCTTTTTGCTAGGAGGAGGTTCTCACTGTCATGGAATCCTCTGCATGTGGGTCTGGCCTGCCGCTGTGCGTCCGCATCTCTGCACCTGCTTTCAGCCAGCCCTCGTTTCTGTACAGCCACGGGACGGGGCCACGCTCGTTTTCACAGCTGTCTAAACCCCAGAGCCAGTCCTCAGGGCCACTTATGCCCTGCCCCCCCCCCCCCCCCGTGCACCCACAGCCCCTCGCCACTCTTTCAGAAGCTGCAGCCTGGCCAGGCCGGGTGCACGTCCCCAGGGAGGCATTTCTCATTCCTGGCACCCCCTGGGGGGTTGGGAAGTCGGAGGGGCCCCTGCCAGAGTGGGGGTGGAAGCCAGGGGTGACTCAGCCAAAGAGCATCGTGGAACTGTCCTTGGGGGTCCACAGGGTCCCTGTGGCTATGCCAGGCCAGCCAGAAGGCCTAGCGGTGATTACAGGGCCACTGCAGGCTGTCATGGTGCCAGTACTGTGGCGAGCGCTGTGCAGGCCTGGCCCATTGCGTCCTCCCCACAAAGCTGGGTCTCAGGGTGGGAACACGGAGTGGCCCCCACTCAAGGAGCCTGCAGGGAAGGAGGCAGCCCAACATAGTGCCACGGATGTGCCAACTGTCGCAGCCCACATCGGGGAGGCTTTGACTGTGGGTGAATTAGATTTGACAATGCCAACATCAGAAAGAGTAGCAGAGACCATCTGCTCTGTGGAGGCCCAGAGAGATGTAGCATCTTGCCCAGGGTCACACACCAAAGTGGCAGAACTGGGCCCGCCTTCTAGGCCCAGGGCTTTGTCTGGGTCTCATGCCTGCTCCTCTAACTGCAGGGGTCCCTGGGGGAGGGTTTGTGTCAAGGCGGGTGGAGAACAGCCCTGTGCTCTTTGTGTTCAAAGCCAAGAGGGGAGCCGCACTCGGGGAGCAGCCGGCGGAGAGCGCGGTGGAGGTAAGTGGAGGCCTGGTCGCCCAGGTGAGTGGTTCCTTGCCCGACTTGTCCTTCTTCTCACCGTCTCTGTTGTTTCTCTTCTCAGGTATTAATCAATGCCTCCCCAGCCCGACTCACCATTTTACCAATTTCAAGAGATACAATTAAAAGTTACTGCTAGCATGGGTAATGCCACGTTCCAACGCCTAATTAAGCCACGAGCACTTTCTCCCCGTCCCGGAGCCCCCAGTACTCACTGTACCCAGGAAGCCAGCATTCCTCCCCCGCCCTCCATGGGGAGCCAGGGCTCCCTCCAGAGAGTTGCCCCTGAGTCCAGGCCCCAAGTGATCACTGTGGGCCAGACCCTGCCCTCCCGGACTGTGGAGGCTGGAGATTCGAGGGTGGGGGCGGGTGGAGGGAGCTGTCCCCTATAGCTGGTCCCTCTGGAAAGCTGGCCACAGGCCAGGGATGTGTGAAGGAGACAGTGAGGCAGAGAAGGTGGGGCTGTCTTAGGGGTTCTTGGGGTGACAAATGTGAGGACCCTCCAGCCGGGGGGAGGGGCGCCCAGGGCACAGGGGAGCAGCAGCTGCTGGCCCCTGCCAAGCTCCCAAAGAAAGTGCCACCTGTGGGAGGAACATGCAGAGGCCTCAGCCTTCCCGTTCCCCCCCATTCCTACCCCGCCCCCGCACCCCAGTGAGCCCCACCCCAACAGCTTTCCTCCAAGCCTCGGGGACCACCAGCTGCTCATGCAGACACCTCCTTTCCCATCACACTTCAACCACTTCAAGCTGGAGGGGCCCCCACTTAGGTGTCTGAAGGAAGAGCCCCCCCAGTCTGATTAAGCTCTAGGAAGCAGCAGGACACCCCAGGGAGCTCAGTTCCTCCTCTCCATCCCACGGCCCCCACCCCACATGCCTGTGTCTGGAGGAGGCACCTTACTCGGAGGAGCTTCCTGCCCCAGCAGCTGCCAAGCCCCCAGGGTGGGTATTCCATCGCCCACCCATCCTCTGCGGCTGCCCGTCCTCCAGCCTTGCAGACGAGCCAGCACCCAGCCCGCTGCCCTGCCAGCCTGCCCTGCCTCAGCCTGAGCTGCCAGGGACCGCGTCCCTCCTGCCCCAGGACGCTGGCTATCTGCAAGGCTGCCACCTCAGCTATCTCCAGGCCCTTGCCGGCCTCTGCTCTCCTGCACAGAGGGCAGGCCGGCTCTCTGTCTCATCCCCTGCCCTCTGCCATCGCCTGGCAAGCCCTCTGGCAGGAGCTTCTCCATCTCTCTGAGCTGTCCTGACGCTGCTCACGCTCCATCCTCTCCCCCCACCCCCTTCTTTGTTTCTTTCATGAACAGGAAGATGGAGGTCAGAATGAGAGGGCACTTTGCTGTCACTTCCTGCTTTTCACTTACTGACCATTAAAGAACGAGGACCCTTTGGGTGGGCTGGGGTGCAGGCCGCCCAGAGCATGGGAGGGAAGGGATGCCGGGTGCCGCCCAGAGCTGTGGCTGCAGTGGGAGCCGCAGGGAGGAGGAGAAGGAAGGCTCAGGGGTCTGCACAGGGCAGCTGTGAAGCCCAGGGAGGGAGGCAGGGCACAGCCTGCCCTGGCGTCTCAGGCCACCTTTCTCCTGGGGGGCAATTCCTCACATGAGCAGGTGAGGAAGGGGCCGTGCCTCCAGCAGTGGTGGTGACAGAGGCCTCCTGCCCCAGTGAGGACCACCAGGGCTCCCGGAGAAGAGGGTGGCCCCGGCCACACTCTCTGCCCGCCATGTGTCTTGGCAGGGCAGCAAGGGGCTCAGGGGCTCCTTCGTCTGTTCAGGGGGTCTCAGGGCTGGAAAATAAAGCCTGCAACATGCCGAGCGTGGGGGCAGGGGCTTGTGAATATTGAGGGACAGACAAGGGCCTGGGAGCCTTGGAAGGAAAGCAGGCCCTGGGTGTGCACAGAGCCAGGAAGGGGTCTCTGAAATTGCTCCTTTAGCTGCCAAATGGGATTAGGGATTCAGGATCATTTGGGGCCGGGCCGGCCTGGTCAAAGCTTGGGATAAGGCACCCCCTTCCAGCCTTGGTTTCCCCTCTGTGCTCTGAGCAGCCAGCCCTTGCTGGTGGTGCCCAAGGACAGACGGTGGCCCAGTAGGAAGCATCCCCAAAGACGGGCAGAGTCTCAGTCACCCCCAGAAGGGCCCAGGTGTTGGGAGGAGGTTGTGGTGTGTCCTGTCTACAGCCTGGGGAGCTTGGGGTGGAGTTAAATCCTTCTACTTCCAGAGTCCTCTGGCCTCCCTCTGCCCTTCTCCCCCACCTCCCCTGCTAGGCAGGTTGACAATGACCTCCAGGGTCTAAAGGAGGAGGCTCTCGAGTGTGTCCGGGCCACCTCCTCTGCCCCAGCCAGGGGGCAAAGATTAGAGCCCTTCTAGGGGGGCTACTTCCAGCACCTGGGCAAATCTGCCCAAGGTCCGGGGCCCTGACCTGCCCTGGCTGTCTGGGCTGCCCGCGACTGCAGGCCATCACCTCGGGGAGTCCAGGGGATGGGGGAGGTGCAGATCGCCCCCCAGGGGCCCTTGGCATTCTGGGGGTTGGGCGCTTTCATGATGTCAATAGCGACGAGGAGGCTCTTCTTTAACAAAGTGAGGGCTTGCATGGCCCACACGTGCTGGACTCCGTCCCTGCGCCTTGCCCTCCTGGGCTGCACACGCTCCAGGGAGGCAGGGAGGGCTTGAGACCATTCGTCCTGCGGTGCAAGCTCTGAGGTTGGTGGGAAAGAGGTGGGGAGAGTCTGTGTGGCCCAGAGGCACCGGCAGAGCCACCTCACAGAGGGGAAGACTGAGGCCTGAGGACGACACTGCGCATGGTCAGTGGCAGACCACGGCAGTGTCTCTGCTCACGCTCCCTCCTGAGGAGAGCCAGGGTCAGATCCCAGGTTCCTCTGGGTGGAGAGATGGGCAGAGGTCCAAGCAAGGCAGAGAGCGGGAGGGAGGCCAAGGGAGGCTCAGGGTAGCCCTCCTAGGAGCTGGGAATTAGTCTTGTAACATTTCATGCTTCTCTGGCTGTTTCTAAACTAGGTGTCAATTCACAACAGGCTTCAAACGTCCCAGCACAACCCCGGGCTGGGGGCCGAGAGCGGAGCGCCATTGCCAGACCTGCAGCCTAGCCCCTTGAGAGAGCATCCCCCACCGCTGCCGCCGCCCACACCCCCGGGCACCCTGGTGCAGTGCCAGCAAATTGTCAAGGTCATTGTCCTGGACAAGCCCTGCCTGGCCCGCATGGAACCCCTGCTGAGCCAGGCTCTCTCCTGCTACACCTCTTCCTCCTCTGACTCCTGCGGCTCCACACCCGGGGGCGGCCTGGGCTCCCCGGTCAAGGCTGTCCACCAGCCTCCACTGCCCCCACCGCCGCCGCCCTACAACCACCCTCACCAGTTCTGCCCCCCAGGACCCCTGCTGCACCGGCGCCGCTACTCCAGTGGCTCCAGGAGCCTGGTGTAGACTCTGCCCCAACCCTGCTGCCTCGGGGCCTGCTGCCCTGCTGCTCCACACCCTGGCACGGTGCATTCCTGGCCACTGATTGCCATCATTTGGGAAAGAGAACCCCCTCCCTGGCACCTGGGTTTGCCTTGTCCCACCGTCCCGCCACCTCAGTCGAGCACCCCTCCCCAGTCTGCAGACGCCACCTCACTCTCTTGGGCCCTGCACAGCCAGACCAGGCAGGTGCCTCTTCCTCTGGCCGCCACTCTCCCACATGGGGCCGTGGCCCGAAGAAGCCAGAGCTGAACTTGCAGCTTTGAGCCTGTTGGTGCCCAGAGGCCTCAGGCCAGGGCGGGAGCAAGAGGCAGCAGCTCACAGCCCAGGATGGTGCATCTGCGCCACACTGAGTGGAGGAGGGCTATCTCGGGCTCCCCGGGGGTTTCTCTGCTGCCCCCGTACCCCCAAGCCCAGCAGTGTCGGAGGCTGCTCCCTGGTCTCCAGGCCGTGGGCTGTCCTTCGCCCTCCTCCCAGGGCCTTCTGCTTTCTCAAGGGCTGCCCAGGCCCCAGGAACGCTTCAGGAAATGGAGGAGGGAAGGGAGCACACTCAGCTCTCTCTGGACCAGGTCAACAGGGCCGAGCAATAACAGGGTCTTACATCTGCAAAATGCACCTTTTTAAAGAATTTCTTAGTTCCCGAGCCCCGAACAACACCCAGCAATGCCAAGTGCACCGGGCACATACACATAAACACAGAGAAGAACTAGGTTAATTTCTTTGATTGTGGAAGCAGAAACAGGGAGATGGGGCAGTGATTTGCCCAGCAGAGATGGGTCTCTGGCCAGAGGCAGGGCTCCCTCTTGCAAGACATCTGTGGCCAGCAGGAGGGACTTGGGTGCAGAGGGGGTGAGAGAAACAGGGGCTCCAGAGGCACTTGAGTTTCCCCTGTGACCCTCAGCCTTTAATGCTTCCCCCCCCCCCGGAAGGTGCCAGACACCCCCTCCTCAGCAGGGATAACTGAAAGAGCCCCTGGACCCTTACAATTGCAAAGGAGAGCCAAGCAGGCCTTGCTGACCTCCCAGGGCCGAGCAGGCAGGGGCAGCTAGCTATAGGTGGCCCCACAGAGCCCAGGCCTAGGGCAGGGTCCCTCCCCAGCCAGGAGAGAGGCAGCCCGCCCTCAGGCCCTTTCTGTCCTGCGGGACCAGACTCCAGTCCTGAGCCAGCAGCTCACTGCTGTCCTTCGTGCAGGCCCCTCCCACTGCACCTATTGCTAGAGCCTCCTGAGAGACGGAGGGAGCATTGGCCAGGTCTCCATGAGCCTGCAGGACCTGGGCCAGGAGGACGCATGGGTCATTCCCCGCTCTAGGAGGGTACAGGTGACCCAGTTTCCAGTGTGTGTGTGTGTGTGTGTGTGTGTGTGTGTGGTCACCGGACGTCACTGTGATGTCACCCAGTGAGTCTATTTCTGGCATCTTTGTCAGCTGGTCTCCGCAACTTGCAGCCAGTTTGCCATCACCCTTGTGGCTCCCCAGCCCGTCTGCCCTGCCTGTCCTTGTCACCCTGGCCCCTCTGTGTCTTCTCTGTAACAGAAATGGTCCAGCCAGAGCCTGTTGGAACGGAGCGGCCCACAGATGGAGTGCACAGACTCAGACTCCCTGGTGCCCATGGCCAGGGCAGGGATGGCCCCAAAGTGGAGGCCCAGGCAGGAGGTGCCAGGGACTGGGAGGAAGTGTGGTTGTGAGGATGGAAGGGATGAATCTTGAATGAGGGGAGCTGAAAATAGAAGGTTATGAGCAGGAAGCAGGAGTATGAGCTTTGGGAGAACATGAGCTATGCATGTGGGTAACTATATTTATGGGGTGTGGGCCGGGGTGCCTGGGCCATGAGGGAGGGGCACTGTCCAGCCAGCCCTGTCCCACCAGGCAGGACCCCTGCCACCTGCTCATGTGGCACTTCCAGCTTACAAAGTGCCCTCCTGCTTGCGGACGGGGGCACAGCAGCCCTGGGCCCTCCCTCCCACTTTCCAGACTGGGACAAGCAGAGGCCTTAGGGCTGGCACCTGGACTGCCGGGCCCTCAGCACCCATTCCTCAGGGTGGGGTGGTGGCTGCCCATCTGCTCACAGCACAGGGAGTCCTGTTGCAGGAAGCAGACCAGTCTGGGTCAGCAGCCCGTGGAGCCAGGCCTGAGCTGGGAGGGGCTTTTAGTCCCTGAGGGCCAGACCAGGACACAGCTGGCCTTTCTTGCTGTCAGGGGAAGCAGGTGCCCAGCCTCTGCAATGCCCCTGCCTGATCAGCCTGCCAGCTAAGGTGGGGACCTGGCTCCATGCCCCTCCCAGAGCCTGGCCCTCAGACCCCTGGGAGAGCCCCTGCTCCCTGTCACAGGGCGGGTGGGAAGGCTCTGCCCTCCCAAGCCCAAGGGGCAGTGGAGTGCTGACTGAGCCCCTGACCCAGCCACCGCAAGATGGCCCACACCACCGACTTTCTGGGCCTGCCTTTAGGGACCTGGGCCCTCTTCCAATTTTATCCATGTGGCTGCAACTCCAGACTCCAGAGTGGTGGATGCAACTGGCTTCCCCAGACCCCAAGCAAGGCCCTGCCCGCGCGTGTCTTGGAAGCCCCCTGCCTGCCTGCCTTTCTCCAAGGGCACTGTGATCCCACCCACGTCCATCGGGCCTGGGCCCTGCACCCCGCCCCGGCTGTTCTCCCGTGGCCTGCCAGGTGTCTGTGCCGCCAGGCTGCCTGGCAGCTGCCCATGTCTCAGACCCTGTGCGCAGCTGTACATGCCTTCCTGCTGCACCCGCCCCATGCACCCCTTCACCTCCTTGGAGAGAAACCTCTCCAGGGAAAAGCAGGGTGGCTGCACCCAACAACTAACCCAAATGGCAAATATTTTGTAACAAAATATCCCAGAGGTATTTTATCTGTTTGATTCATAGAGTTTTAGAGATTATATTGAAATATGTCACTTGAGCAAACTGTATTGGTTCAGTTTCTTTTGTTCCCCAGAGGGAGGGCCCCCCTTAAGTCAGAGCCTCTAATCAGGGAGGGCCTGAGGCAGGAGGACACCAGAGGCCTCCACCCTCGAGGCTGCTGAGCAAGGCCAGGGGCAGCTGGGGTGGCTCGGCCACAGCAGCAGCCTCCACCGGGACCTGCACGCCTGCGCGCGTCTCGTCTCGCAGAGGGCTTGGGTGTGGGAGGGGAAGCTGTCTGATGGGGCCAGGGCAGGGCTGGGAGCAGGGCCAGGAAATGGTGTGTGCACAGGCCTGACCCCCACACCAACACACATGCACGCACGCGCACACACACACACGGCTCTTAGTGGTTGCAAGAGCAGGTTGCAGCGGAGACCACAGGCCGCTTTGGAGGGAGGAGGCACCCACAGCCACTGTGCATGCAGGGGGTGAGCCTGGGAGTCCCGGCCGCCTCTGGCCCCGTGTTCCTGCAGTGGGAAGCATGGGTGTGTTGGGGGTGAGGAGGCTGTCCCAGGTGGTTTTCTCTTCTTGTCTGGTGTACTCTCCCTGAAAGGAAGGGGCCTCGGCTCAGGGAAAGGGCCAGGGCAGTGCACAGAGCTGCAGAGAGCACTGTGGCAAGCACTCCCTGCACCCTGCAGTGTGCCAGGTCCCCTGCCGGGAGCTGGAAGGGAGGCCAGGATTCTGCAAGGGATACACAACACCCAAGGGCCTTACGTCCAGAGGGAAGGTGGAATGAGGACTGGCACAGGCCAGGAGGGCTAGGGCAAGTGTCCACAGCCAGATGTGACACCCAGCTCACTCCTGGGCAGGCCTTGAGATAGAGCAGTTTATCCTGGCAGGAGAGAGAGGAGAGAGCCTTCCAGCAGCACAGGGCATCAGAGGCGCCACATCCTGGGAGGAGGGGGAAGGACCAAGCTGGCCAAGACTGCTGCTCCCGGGACACCCAGTGCTCCTGGTGATTAGAACTCTGGACGTCCAGAAATCCAGACAGCTCCTTCCCTGGGCTGAGTTCCTTTGTCCCCTGCTAATGTGAAAGGGAACATGACTTCACCCTCTTCCCAGGAAATGGGAAATTCCAGGAGGCACAGGCCAACTGTGACCTATCCCAACCTGGGAATTCTCTGGCCCAGGAAGCTGAGGCTTGACCCCTTGAGAGCATCCTTAGGGACCAGCTCCACCCAGGCCTGAGAGAGGGCCTGCAGCCAGGAGGCTGGAGGTGGGGTGGCGGCACCATTCTCCAAGTCTTCCTTGCCCCATGGCCATCTGGGAGGAGTGTCCCTTGCTCCAGTGAGAGAGGAAGGTAGCCTGGGCCCCTCTGGTGCCATCTGCCATCGGGATGGAGAGGTAGGGACAGTGCATGTCACCTTGCAATGACCCTTGGCAGATGGGGGAAGCTCAAACTCATCAGTCTCTGACTTAGAATGTTTCCAGTGAGGGTCCAGGGTTTACTGGTCTCGGGCTGAGAGCAATGCCTGTTCTAGAAACCAGGAAAATCAACAAGCCTGTGAGCATCTGTGGGGCACCAGTCCCTCCTCTAGGTGCTGAGCACGGAGCTGTGCATGGGACAAGGCCAGTTTCTGCCTGCAGGTTTAAAGGGGCCATCAGAAATGAGCAAGCAATGGACCAACTATGTTCATGTAGAGGCTGCAACACACCAGGCATGCTGGGGAGAGCCTGTTCTGCAGTGAACATTCAAGGAAGACCTCTGCAAGGGGAAAACTGAGCAAGGTCAAGGTCAGGGCTAAGCGCAGGTGAGCAGTTCAGAGGCCACCACTACAGTGTGGAATGACCACATCTTCTTGAGGCAGAGGCCAGGATGATCTGCCAAAAGACTGTTTCCTGATACAGGAATTTACTTACATGAAAAAAAATCTTAATAGACGGTAGAAATTGATTTAGAAACCACCTTTGTTGAGGAAACAAAACTTGGTTTTCTCATAGAAAATCCAGGATAAACGGTCGCCACAGGCACAGCCCCTGGAAAGAGTGTTGAAGGTGGGCAGTCGGGACAGAGGGTGGGGGCGGCGGCCACCACAGGGGCCCGGCCATGGAGTAGACCCCAGAAAACAGGCAGCAGCAGCAGTGAGGCCGAGCTGCCCTGACGCCGAGGCAGCCGCTGCCCAGAGCCAGACGAGCTGGTGTGGCCCGATTCCCGGCGGGGCGTCCACTCCAGGGCGTGGCCACCCGCAGACAGGGCCGCACCCGCCTCCTCCTCCTCTGTCGCCCCAAACCACGCAGACTCAGGTCTGCCACTGTAAAGTCATGATGGAACAGACTCCACAGCCTGTTGCCCACTGGTCCTGGGCCCAACAAACTTCCACACTGTGTGAACGCCACGGAACCGCGGCAAGACTGGTTTTCTCCCAGCAGGGCCAGCACCGTGTGGCTGTGGGCCTTGGCACGCCTACCCCATCCCCAGCCCTGACAGATGTGGCTAACCAGTCACTAATTTCCGGGACCAAACAAACATCAGTCGATGTTTGCTGACCAGGACGAAATGCATGGGCCCGGGGCCTGCACGGAGCCACTTTGCAGGAAGGCGCTGCGGAGGGAGGCAGCTCGGAGCCGGAGGAAGTGCTGGAGAGGTGTGGCCCATCTGACCCTCTGGTGCCCGCTGCTCACGGAAAACCACTCTGGGGGCTGTTGTTCCTCGGCTCCCTGAGGCCCCGCCCTGCAGACGCTCAGGGCTGTCTTCCTCTAGAGCTCCTCGCTGCTCAGCGCCGCCAACCGCCCTGTCCTCTGGGCACCCTCACTTCCTCCACTCACCTCCCACAGGCGAGTCACATGTCCCCGGGGTCACAGGGGCACAGGGGAGAAAGGTGCTCAGAAGAGCTCTCCATCCTGGCAAGGCACAGCGCCCTGGGGGCAGGGCCCGTGTTCCCCTAGCAGATTGCAAGGCCTGGCCAGAGCCTGGTGGCCTGGAGCCACAGGCTGAGTTCTTCTCTGCTCCCCTTCCCTCCCCAGGAAGCCAGCCAGGCCCAGAGACAGACTCCAAGCCCTAGCTGGAGGCAGGGAGATTATATGCGGGAGCAGGAATGGCAGGGAGGGCAGGTCCAGAACTGGTCCCAGGGGAAAATGCCGTTCTTGGTAAGGCTAGAGGATAAGGGAGCTGGAGTCCAAGAGGTAGGGAGGAGGGATGGAAATGCTTCCCTCACCTCCACCCTCCCTCTGTTCCCCCTGCGAGTCTAGGGGGCTCTCTCCCTGGAAAACCGGGCAGCCTAAGCCACCAGCCAGGCCTAGTAGCCCCTCCGTGTCTCCTGCCCCCATGACCCTAAAGACGGAGTGACCGCAAGAATGGCTCTGGGAAAACTGTGGGAACTGGCCAAGGCAGACAAAGCCAACTTCCTACACAGACCTGCCTTGCCCTCCCTCCCCTGGAAGCCCAGCATACCCTCCTTCCCAGACATCAGCTAGACACCACCCTCCCCTCCTGGCCCCATCCCGCCGCACAGGGAGTTGCAGAACGCCCACCTTCAGACCTGCAGGCAGGCGCATGGGCTCATCATTCTCTTATGGATAAAGGGACTTAAGAAGTTATAAAAACAGGCCTGTCTGGTGGCTCAGGCCTGTAATGCCAGCACTTTGGGAGACCAAGGCAGGATGCTTGAGGCCAGGAGTTTGAGACCAGCCTAAGCAAGAACAAGATTCCATTTCTACTTAATATATATATAAAAAAGAAATTTCTAAAAGAACAACAAATAAACCCAAAGTAAACAGAAGGAAAGATATAATAAAGACAAAAGCAGAAATAATGAAATGGAAAATAGATATATAATAGAAAAGATTAATAAAACCAAAGTTACTTCTAAGAAATGAGTAATAAAGTTGACAAACCTCTTATAAGACTGATTATGAAGAGGAGAGTTGGCACAAACAAAGAACTTGAGGATCAACAAGGAGGACATAATTAGAAGACTACAGTGATTTCTTTAAAAAATAGAATACTACAAATAAGCTGTAACCCCATGGCCGTAAGTTTGAAACCTTCACAAGATGAACACTATGCTACAGAAATATCAAAATTTGCTCAAGAACAAAGAGAAAATTTAAGATGTATAATCATTAAAGAAATCTATGACTTGATACTACTATGCATGAAAAAAAAATAAAAAAAAATAAAAAAATAAAAATAAAAAGAAATCTGAATGTACAGTTAAAAGTCTACACACAAACCCTTAACAACAACAACAAAAAAACTCACACACAACATCAGGCTAGATGATTTTACAAAATTACATTACACAAATTCAGGGAAAAGATAGTTCCAACCTCATATTAACTCTTTCAGAAAAAGAAGAAGAATATGCCCAGACTTCTTTTTATGAGCCTTAAAAAAAAGGGCGCTATAGACCCTACAGACCAAGCTTGCTTAGAGCATAAACACAAAAATGCTTAACAGAAATACTAGCAAATGGAACCTAGCATTGAATAACAAAAAGATAATACAACACAACCCCAGTAGGGTTTGTCCCAGGAATGAAAAGATGGTTAAATATTAGAAAAATCTATTGGTATAACTGACTACATTGACAAATTAAAAGAAAAACAATATGATCATTCCAATAGGTACAGAAAAAGCAATCAATAAAGTTCAACACTTTTTCTCGATTTGAAAAAAACCAATAAACTTGGAACAAAATAAAAACTTCATAGCCTAATAAATGGCATCTATCAAACACCCACATTACCATCACACTCGGCGGTGAAATGTCAGGATTCCTGTCAAAAGGGGGAGGAGGCAAGATGCCAGTGGCCACCACTTCTGGTTATCCAGTAAAGGAAGACAAAGAAAAAAAATAAGAGGAATAACAATTGGAGAAATAAAATTGTCATTATTTCCAGACAGTCTGATTATCTATGCAAAAAGCCCTGAAGTTTCAAGAGGAGGAGTGATTAGAATAAACACGGAGGAAAAGGCCGGGCAGGCAGGCCCGGCACCCCAACAGCAGCCGGGGAAGGCTGCTCCCTCAGCCGCCAGCCTGCCCTGGGCGCTCTCCGTCCTGCCTTCCTCCTGGGATCCTCTTCCCACTGACAGACCCAAATCCCAGCTGCATTTTCTGAGGATGAGTCTGGCCATGGACGGCACAGGCCACCTTCACTACCCTAAGTGGCCGCAGCCCACTGAGCCGGGAACCGAGCCTTGCGCAGAGCGTTCGTCGCTGTGCGAGTTCTGGCCTTGGGCCGGCTCCTCGGCCCGTCAGCGCGGCGGCGTGCGCAGAGAGCCTGCAGCGTGGCTGTGTCGACACTGCTGACCTGCAGGACCCAGGCCTGCAAGGCTCAGTCTGGCAGGAGGCGAGCTCTCCCCTCTCTGTGACCTCACCTGGCGTCTCCCTGCTCACCTCCCCAGCCGTCCGCTGCCAGAGGGCTCCTCGGCTAGGATGAGCCACCTGCCCCTGCTGTTGTCTGGCCAGAAGCAGAGAGTGCTGAGTGCAGGCCCCAGGGCGCCAGCCCACCTCAACCCTATGCCATGTGCCAGGCTTGGCTCCTGGGCGTCCCCGTCCTCCCCTGGCCTCTCTGTATCGGTGGGTAGTTAACAAGCTTCTCATCCCTGTCGGGTCCAACGAGCCCCTGTCACTTCACCACGCAGCAAAATCCGCAGGGAAGCCACGTGGGCTCAGTGGTCGCGGAGCTGGGCAGGCGAGGGGGAGGGGCAGGGACGGAGGCAGCCAGGCCGCACCTGCCTCGGAGCCAGGGGAGGAAGACGGGCCAGGGTCCGTGAGGGCCCTGGCGGGGTCAGAGGAGCTAAGGGGTGGGAGGAAGGCACAGGCCCGGACAGGAGGAGCACTAGGGAGCCCTCTCCCCAGAGGTCTGAGGGACGCCTGAGACAAGGGGCTATGCCTGACCCTGTGCTCGGGGAAGCCAAGGGCTGGCATTTGCCACCACTGTTGAGAAAACTACTAAAGCTTAGTGGTTAAAACAACCAGACACGTGTCTCACCCCTCGCTGGGGCGCCGGTCGGCAGGGCCCCCTCGCCTGGGCCCGTCTGGCTCGGACCTCTCGAAGGCACAGCAGCATGCCAGCCAGGGCTGCCGGGGCCCGCAGGCGTGGGGGCTGGAGGGCCCACTTCCACGGCGGCTCGCCTGCTGGCCGACAAGCCAGTGCTGCCGCCGGCAGGAGCCTCAGCCCCCTCCATGTGGCCACTCTGTCGGTCACTGTCACGCCCACACGGGCAGCTCAGCCGGGGAGCCCGTGCCCCGTGGGAGCAGCTCAGCCGGGGAGCCCGTGTCCCGTGGGGGAGCCCGTGCCCCGTGGGAGCAGCTCAGCCAGGGAGCCCGTGCCCCGTGGGGGAGCCCGTGCCCCGTGGGAGCAGCTCAGCCGGGGACCCCATGCCCCGTGGGGGAGCCCGTGCCCCGTGGGAGCAGCTCAGCCGGGGAGCCCGTGCCCCGTGGGGGAGCCCGTGCCCTGTGGGAGCAGCTCAGCCAGGGAGCCCGTGCCCCGTGGGGGAGCCCGTGCCCCGTGGGAGCAGCTCAGCCGGGGAGCCCATGCCCCGTGGGAGCAGCTCAGCCGGGGAGCCCGTGCCCCGTGGGGGAGCCCGTGCCCCGTGGGAGCAGCTCAGCCGGGGAGCCCGTGGCCCGTGGGAGCAGCTCAGCCGGGGAGCCCCTGCCCTGTGGGACTGCTGTGGCCGACACCTTAGAGCTGCTGTGAAAGTAAAGGTGGCCGCTGCCCTCCTTCAGGACAAGAGAGTCTGGGCGGGAGGGACCTGGCCCAGGTTGACAAACGGCACCACAGGGCCCGCAGAGCGTGAGGTCCAGACTGAGCGAGCCGCAGCTGCTGCCGCCCACGGCCTTCTGACCCCTGCCCTCAGCCTCCTGCCTCACCCCTCCTCCCCTCCGCTGGGCGATCCGGTGCTCCATACAGGAGTGTGTGGAAGAGGCAGGAGGAGCAGGCAGCCGAGAGCCTGCGGCAAACCGGAGAGTGCCAAAGGCGTCCACTTCAAAACACGTGTTAGTGCCACACCGTCCAAACAAATGGTCGCTGCCAGATTTGGGCCTGACCCCCAGTCGGAAGCTCAAGCAGCCTGGGAGATGAGACCAGACAGCCGACAGCACGGCCCACGGTCTCGCCCGCACGAGTGGGCCGGCGCCTCGGAGGGCAGATTGCCGCTCCTCACCACCCTGCACAGCGCCGGGAGGGGCCCCAGGAGCTGCGCCGTCTTTGAAGTCCTTTCCCTCCTGTTCCTCCAGCTCCAGCCCCGCCACCCAAACCCCTCTGGTCCCAGGGAGTGAAGAGCAAGGAGCCGCCTGCCCCAACGCGGCCTCCCGCGCTCCAGCGGGCTCTGGGCGGCAGCACCCGGTGTGGGGAGTCGCTGCGGCCGCCGGGGCGCCGGGAGATGGAGTCCCAGGAGCGGGGTGCCCACGGGCCAGCGAGGGGAGCTGCCCACGCCGTGAGGCAGGGCAACAGGGCGGAGGCACAGCACTCCACAGACTCCAAGGTGGGAGCCCCGAGGAAGGGCCTGCAAAGTCCTCCCAGCCGGGGTGCGGGCAGCCCCTCTGCCACCGGGCATCGCTGGCGCCTTCCCTCCCAGGATGGCCAGGCCTCCTAAATGGCAGGTCTGCCCGAAGCAGTTTCTCTCCACCCCTCTCTTGGCCATCCTTCCTGCCCTGCTAGCTAGTCCAAGAAGGGTGAGCACAGGTAGCCGAGTAGCCTAGGGGGAGGCAGGAGGGACAGCCAGAAGCCAGGGGCGGGGACACCTACTGTGTCCAGCATGCCCCCAGACTCTTCCTCACCATCTCAGAGCCCCTAACATCCAGGTGAAGGATGCTGGGTGCCCTGAGGATGGCCTCGGTTTGCTGGGGACGGAACTCACCCTGGCCAGACCAGATTCTCACTCCTGCTGCTGGGCAGTGGCTCTTGGTGACATCCATCCACACATCATCCCCCCAGGAGGCTTCCCCTGCCCCAGGAAACTGTCCTGAAGTGCCCACCCAGTCCCACTCCCTCTCCTCCTTCCCCTCTGAGCACAGGGACATTGAAGCTGCCCAAGCCCTATCCTCCCCCAGGAAGCCTCCCCTGCCAGGGCAGGACCTGGTGGTCTGGCAGCGGCATGGGGAGAGGAGCTGGTGAGGAAGGGAGGGAGCAAAGAAGGGCACCCTACCACCGCCAGCAGGGACCCGGGCTCTAATGACTCCATGGCATCCCCTGGGGCAGAGGGTGGCAAGGACAAAGGGGCCACAGAGAACATCTGGTCAGATGCCCGTGGGCTGGCGTAAGATACGAAAGTGGGGGTGCCACTATGGGGAGGACCCCCAACCCTCCCACCCAAGAGTGTCACCCAACAGGACTGGGCCAGCAAAAAGGAGACCAGCACGCAGGACAGGCGGTCTGCACCTGCTTGTTCACTAGGGTGTCTTAGGGAAGAGCACTGCCCTGAGCACAAGGAGACCAGGCTTTAGTCACATCTCTGGCCCCAAGAAGCCGTGTGAACTTGAAAAAGTCACTTCGTCACTCTGGTCCTGGGTCTTCTCATCCATGAAGTCAGGGCTTTGGGTCAGAAGCAGGGTGGCAGGCAGAGCTGGCCGGAGCACTGTTAGGAAGGATTGTGAGGTGGGCAAGAATCTGTGGTCAGTTCGCAACTCTGCCTAGGGCAGAGGAGGAAGAGCAGAGGCATGTGTGCTGTGTGGTCGTAAAGTCTAGGAACCATCCGAGTCCTTTCCATCCCGCTGCTCCGTGAGCTGGTGACAACACTGTGAGAAGGGTGTGGGACTGCGGCTGCAGCTAGGGACACCATGAGACTCCCTCCAGGAGAGCGCCAGGCAGAGGGCCTGCGAGGCTTCCTCGCTAGCTGTGCCACGCCTCGTGGCCCTCAGAACATCGAACCTGGTGAAGGGCTCCCTCTAATGGCCCTCAGAACCCAGCCCCGAGCTCTGTCCTCGCTTCCCACGGCAAGTCCACGGGCTCTCTGAGCCGGATCACGCCGCACTCCCATGGCCGCCGCTGTGCCGTGCGCAGGCTCAGCAGCGCCCGCAGGGAGCGCCCGTGGGCCGGCAGTGCCGCGGGCTGTGATCAGACGGGCTCATCTGGCCGCCCTCCGTTACAGGCAAGGCGGCGTGCTCCAACCGGCGCTGGTGCCCAGCACGGCTCGCCCCGCCGGAGAGGCGCTCCGGCTGTGAGGAGTCTGGCCTCCAGGGAGCTGCCAAGGCTCCCGGAGGTCTCAGCAGGCCTGAGGGGCCAGAGGCAGGGCTGTCACGGCTGGAGAGTGGCCCAACCTGGGACCCAGAGCCAGGAGCCACCTGGTCTCTGGCCACCTTCTACAGATGGGTCTCCGTCTGCCCAGCCAGCAGCCCCGCCCTTGTGGGGCGCGGGCGGCAGTCCTGGGCAGCGCCGCCTGGCAGGGGGAGCTGTCGCTTGGGCCGCGGCAGGCTGGAGTCGGGCGTGGTGAGCTGTCGCAGGCGCTGTGGAGAGAAGAGGCGAGAGGGGCTCTTACGTGAGCACGCCCAGCCCCGGCACCCGGCGAGGCCACGGGCCGCGCGCATCTGAGTAAATGGACAGCAGCTTGAGATGAGAGAAGAGGCAAGAACATGGTAGTTAAGGCTGTGAACCGCCTGGTGCCAGTCCTGGCTGTGCTGCAGACACCTGTGCAGTCTCAGGCCACTCATCTAACCTCTCTGTTAATTTGATCCCTTCAATCTCCTTATCTATAAAGTGAGAAAAATAAAATATACCTCATAGAACAAGGTCTGGCACAGGGTAAATAATCAATAAATGTCTATTTTTGTTATCATTACTATTATTATGTGTTCAGTAAGTATAATTTTTCCTATTAGTAGTACTATTGCTATTATTGTTATTGTTACAATCTCCTGCCCCCTTCTTCCAAGAATATAGATGAATATAGATGTGAAGACTGGCATCATGACAGCCTTCTTGTGACCATGAGGTGATATATACAATGATGAAAAGACAACACGCTTGGTTTGGAAGTGCAGAAATATAAGAAAAATCTGGTCCCTAATGGCCTCTTTATGCCATTGACCAAATGCCAAGAGCCCCCAGCGCCTGCTGCCTCTGACTCCCGGCTCATGCAGCCCTGGTCTCAGAGGGCGACCAGCGCCACAGGGAGGTGCAGACAGCTGGCGGCCCTGCCGTGTCAGGCCGGCCAGCAGTGAGGGAGGTGCCCTGCCGAGGGTGCCCTCCTTGATATGTTAAAAAAAATTTTTTTAACTATTTGCTAAAACTTTTATAGGTTTGGTTTTCTATTACTTGTAGGAAAGGTAGGGTTCTACCTTCATGGATCATTGGCTATAGCTCCTTCCAGGAAGGCATGTCACAAACTCTAAACAGGGAGCCTTCTCATGTGTCCCCACGCAGGGTCAAGACTAGGAAAGAGGCCAGGGCCTGTATGTGCATGGACCATGTAGCTGGCAGTTTCTCAGCAAGGAGTCTATGCTCTGTCAGCCTTCTGTGCCAGCACCTCTATGTTCTCGTTTGTGACTTAGTTTCCTCCTTAATCCTTTGGCAGTTTGCCCTTGTCTAGCCTGCCCAGATGATCAGTAGGTCTAGGACACTGGGACTTTTAACCGCTTCGGTCCGGCGCTCACCGGCCGCGACACCTCGCCCGCAGCGGCACTCACAGTCGCACGGCGGTCTGTGCTGTGCGTTGACCACACGTCCGTTCTGCTCTTGTGTGACGAGGAAAGCCTTAAAGCACTGAAGCTCGTTCTCCTTTACAGGCAGCTTTACTTGTCATGTGAATCAGAATAGGTAACATATACATATATGTTTTCATTACGTTATTTTTAAATGTTCACAATTTTATTTTGATAAATGAAAAATGAGAAAAGTCAAGTGTTATTAATGCTAAAGTCAACGCTGGGCTGTGTGCGTTCATCTGTGGCTGTCGACTATAGTCGACGCTGGTACCAAAGTGGTTAAGAACATTTCTGAAAAGCCATTGGCCTGGTCTTCAAAGGCCCTTCTCTTTAGGGTTCCATGAGACCCAAGGGCTGCCCCACTCTTGGAGTGTGCCCTTCCCTAAGTTCAGCCTCTCCGAGGCCCCTAATGGGTCACTCCCGCCAGCCACCTACCTTCGTGAAGGAACCCTGTGTCTTTAGGAGGGTGATGACGATGAAGAGTGGGACGCAGACCATCGAGGAGAGAGCCAGGAGCCAGCCGATGGAGTACCCCCAGGGAGGGTATACGTAGGCATTGTTGTATCTGAGAGGGGTGTATTTGCTCAAGGAGAAGAGGAAAGTGGCCTGGGAAGAGGAAGGGCCAGCGCAGATGAGACGGGGCCACTGCAGCCCTCTCCCCGGCTACTCACAGCCGAGGACAGAGGACAAGCCAGACGCACAGTGGTGCAAAGTGAGTCCCTGCACATCCCATGTCAAGCCATCGCGCACCTCAAGGACCGAGACAGGAGGAAACAGAGGCAGGGGGTGGAGGAGCCCAGAGCGACAGATAGAAAGGGCCGTCGCGGGTGACCAGCTGGGAGGCAGGAGTGCTGTGAGGGAAGCATGGGCAGAAAGCAGAGTAAGATTCCGCCCACGATGGTGAGCTGGCCCGCAAGAGAAGGGCTGGGACCGACGCATGAGGGAGTGGGCAGGGCTCCCTGGAGACAGGGACAGGAGGGAAGAGGTGGCAGCTGGCTGGGCACCTACCAGGCAAAGTCCAGGGGTCAGGAAGAGCCAGGAGATCTTCACCAGGGGCCATGGCCGGTAGCCAATCATGTCCTCGATGTTGTCATAGAAGCGGTTTGCCCCTGGCCAAGCACGGTGGGAGACAGTGTAAGAGCCGAGGGTGGGAGCAGCTTTGCGGGTGTTTGTGAAAGGCCACCCTCCTCTGCGCCTCCCCCACCCCGCCTGCCCACGAGGGAAACTGGAGCAGACGCCCCTGGCACCCAGGCCCAGAGCAGGGAGTGGGGGCAGGGGCCGCCCCAAGAAGCTGTTGGTGCCATCTCTGTCGTCCTGCCCAATGATGAAGACCCCTGCTCTCCTGCCCACAAAGGAATGGTGTGAGCCTCTGATGGTGCTCAGTGGCTGTACAAGTGCTTGGTTATCTTGTAGAGAGATGAATTTTCTGGAAGCCAAAACAGCAAGGGGCCACTGTGCAAGTCTATCACACAAAAATCACGTAGAGCTAGAAAGCTACTGGGACAGAACAACGGTCTAGATCTCCAGTCCCCAATCCCCGGCTGTGGATGGGCACTGGTCCGGCCTGTTAAGAACTGGGCTGCAGACTGGCCACCACTGCCCCGCCCCCACTCCCACCGTCCGTGCAAATACTGTCTTCCGTGAGACTTAGGACCCGAGGAGCCGCACGGCAGGAGGGGAGCAGAGGGCGAGCAGCGGAAGCTCAGCCTGCATTTACAGCTCCCCGTCACTCCATCACCGCTGAGCCCCGCACCCTCCACACCCATCCGTGGATAAACTGTATTCCATGAAACCAGTCCCTGGTGCCAAAAAGCTTGGGGACTGCTACTCTAGACTGCAGACTCAGAGGAGCCACCTCTGAGTTCCCACAAAAGCACGGTAAGAAGATTGGTTTGTGTGAGTGAAAGCGCTGGTGAGCGTCGCCTTGTGTGGCTTAGTGTCCTCGGTCTCCACGTCTGCGCCAGCCCCAGAGGGCGACCACCGGGTGGCGCTCCCCGGCAGGGCACCTCCCTCACTGCTGGCCGGCCTGACACGGCAGGGCCGCCAGCTGTCTGCACCTCCCTGCGGCGCTGGTCGCCCTCTGAGACCAGGGCTGCATGAGCCGGGAGTCAGAGGCAGCAGGCGCTGAGGGAGGCGGTGACGGGCGTCTCCCAGGAGGGGAAGGGCACCGCATGGGAGGGTGAGCACCAGGCTCCTCCCAAGGCCCTACTGTGTGGCTCCCTCTTGTCCTGTCTGCCTGAAGCCTGTGACACTGTCCCCCCGCCCCCCGCCGCGCCACCTGCCCCAGGAGCCTGCTGCCGTGCAGGCAGCCCCACACCTAGGGGACCACGCTGGCTCCTCCACGAGAGCGTGGGGCCAGGCAGGAGGCCCGGCCTCCCGCGCCTGCCGGGCTGTGCGGATGGCCGGAGCAAGGCCACCAGGACCGTGCCTGGCGCACGACCGCGGCTCCTGGGGCAGGTGGCGACGGGGACACTGTGGCACTCGCCTGTGCTGGGCGGTCATCTCAAGGCTGAGGGGCCAAGGCTGTTGGCAGGAGCCAACAGGAAGTAGAATTCACCTCGGCTAGGAAAGAAACATGTAGATGGAAAAGGCCACGCACAAGCGCAGGATGAGCTTCCTGTCCATGCAAGCACTCAAAAGCACCGTGGGGATGGCCTGGCTGCTAGAGAGAGTGGGCATGTGCGGGGCCAGGCTACGTGGCCCTGAAGGCCCCTCACGAGAATTCCCACTGGCGAAGGCCTCTGGCAGCCTCTGCAGCAGCAAAGCTGCGTTGTCACTGAGCGTCCTCGCAGTGCGCGGGACTCATGTGCCCCCCACCCCACCCAGGCACGGGCCCCACCCCTGAAGCAGGACAGCAGCTCAAAGAACCAGAGGCCAGCAGGCTTAGGCACCACCTCTCATCCTTGGCAAAGCCTGCCCTCAGCTGGGCCGGAGGGCCTTCCTCCCACTCCCATCCCACTCACCGTACACCCAGCCCACGCAGACCACTTCAAACACCGAGAGGAACAGCAGGCACGTGCCACTGCATGCGTAATAATCGAACAGCTGGAAGACATACATCCCGCCCTGCAGGGAAAGGGGCTGAGGCCTCGGCCAGTGGGGCAGGGACACTCTGCCCACAGAGACAGCAAGTGCCCCTGGGCCCCACCCAGCCCGTGAGCAGTCATGTCTGCATTTACAAGGAGCCTGCCGTGCCCAGGCCCCTCGATCAGCACCGGGACAGCAATCTCTGACGGCTGTAAGGACGTCTGCCCAGCACCCCATCTTCTGGGAATCGACACCACCTCACTGTGCTTTTCAAGTTGGGGAGTCCCTCTCTGTGTGTTCCAGGCATGAGCAAGACTGATGGCCTGGACACTTGCTGCGCTGTCCGGAAAAGGGCCCTCTCTTTCCTCTGGGGCTGGTTGGACAGTGCAAGGCAAGCCTGCGGCTGCAACAGCCACCCTAATACCACAGGAGGAAACCTGCCCGCAAGTGGAGTCAGTCACCAGAAGACAGAGAGAAGCAGTCCTGATAGCATTATGAGAGTGGCTAGATCCAGCCATGCCTGAAACCCAAACATCTCTAGACTTTCCAGTTACCTAACCAAATAAATTCCCCTTCCTGCTTAAGCCACCTTGTATTAGGTTCCTGCCTCCTGCAACCAAAAGAGACCTAACTAATACAGTAGATTCTATTATATGGGCCCTATAACCTCGCCGTGAAAGAGGAGGGGCAGGTGTCCACACCCCCATTTAGCAGATAAGGAAAGTGTGGCTCTGGGAGGGGTCAGCAGTGGCCCCCATGGCTCCCTCATCCTGGAGCCTGGCCTGCAGGCCACCATCCCAGCTCACCTCAGTGACCAGGAAGAGCCCCATCAGGTAGCACACGGCCGCAATGGCAAGGATGAGGAGCTCACGCCGCCCACTCCTCCGCAGCTGCCGAGGGAACATGTCCATGGAGGCTGTCACCAGGCACTCCATACAGACAAACTGTGGGCAGGAGCGGAGTCAGGTGAGTGCCGTAGGGCTGGCCCTTGCCCTGGCCTCCTCCCGCCCCATTCATCCAGCTGGGGCATCCAACAGGGGCAGCAGTGGGAGGCCTGGTGGGAGGCAGCCTCGCCCTTGGCCAAAACTCCACAGCAGAAGGTCCCAGCAGTGAGGGCTGGCCTTGGGGAGATGTTCTGTCCCTAAGGCCAGGGCGTGGGACTGGGAGCTGGCAGAAAGCTAGGGGAACATTTGGGATAAAGGTGCCAGCTGGAGGGAGTAGAGGCGGAGGCCCCTTCACAGAAGAAGGTCTCAAGGCCTAGGTCACCCCCCCCCCAATCTCAAGGAAGAGCCCTGGACAGCAGAGGGGGCCCCATACTGATGGTTTGGGAAAGGGGTGGGGGGAGGTAGTGCTAAGACAGGCAGCAGCTGGCAAGAAAGCCATGGGACAGGACAGGACAGAGCAGGCTGGGGTGACATACCTGGCTGTCCAGCCCTAGGAATATAAGCATGAGGAAGAACAGGCATGACCACAGGGGAGACAGAGGCATCATGGTCACAGCCTTGGGGAATGCGATGAAGGCCAGACCGGGACCTGTGGGCACACAGCACAACCAGGTGGGCTCTGGAGCTTTCACTGCCCTCAGAAGGAGTCTCTCTCCACATGTGTGGAGAGTCACCAAGCACGTGTGTGTGTGCACATGCACACACTTCGAGAGGACAGGGTGATTCCATCCATTATTCTGCCCATCTCAGGTTCTTCAGAGCACACCATCCATTCATCCATCCATCCATGCATGCCTCCATCTGTCCATCCATCCATCCGTCCATGCATGCCTCCATCCATCCATCTGTCCATCCATCCATCCGTCTGTGCATGCCTCCATCCATCCATCTGTCCATCCATCCATCCGTCCATGCATGCCTCCATCTGTCCATCTGTCCATCCATCTGTCCATCCATCCATCCATCCATGCATGCCTCCATCCATCCATTCGCCTGCCTGTCCATTCATCCATCCATGCATGCATGCCTCCATCCATCCATCCGCCCACCTGTCCATCCATCCATCCATCCATGCATGCCTCCATCCATCCATCCATCTGCCCGCCCATCCATCCATCCGTCCATGCATGCAGCTGTCAATCCGGCCACCTACCCATCCCTCTCCCTCCTCCCTGCCATGGTTATGGAAGCCCTGCTTTGTATCAAGCACTGCGCCAGATGCTAAAATTAAATCATATAACCCATAATAAATCATATTACTCAGCTTCTAGGACTCCTATCTTTCTGCAGGAAGAACTGTGTTCTGATTCTCCTTCCCCTCAGGTCCCCGACAGCAAGGTGGCACCTACCTGACTCGGCCACCTCGGAAATGGGGAGCCTCTGCTCTCGGGACATGAAGCCCAGGATGGAGAAGACGACGAAGCCAGCCATAAAGCTGGTGGCGCAGTTCAGGAAGCAGAGGGCGATGCAGTCCCTGCAGCAGGGCAGAGGTGACAACACCAGGAAGAGAGGAAGAGACAAAGAAACGACAGGGAGGAGACAAGAGAAGGCAGTGAGAGGGAAAGAGGAGGAGAGGAGAAAGAGGAAGGAGCAGCGGAAGCAAGGAGGGGAGAAAGAGACACAGCAGGTGTCGGAGGTGGGGAGAGAACAGAGAGAGCAAGGGGGGAAGAAATCCAGTCTGGTAATGAGCCCCGCGCCAGTCTGACAGGCAACTGTGGGCCTTGGTGGCGGGCAAGGCGGGCCTGGGCCTCACCTGTAGCAGTTGTTGTGGTACTTGTTGTAGCTGCCCAGGGCCGTGAGGCACCCCTGGCAGATGGCAAATGAGAAGAAGATCTGGGTGCCTGCGTCCATCCACACCTGCGTGAGCCCCCAGAGAAAGTGGTGAAGGAAGGGTCAGAGGGAGCCCCCAGGGCCTGGAGCCAGGGTGACCAGAGACCCACACCTGTCACCTACAGCACTGGCCTGGCGCCCTCGGTGCGCCCTGAGCGCCTTGCTCCCGCATCCCCGCTCTCCACCCCTGCGTCCTGCCTTCTCTCCACAGTGACCTCTCACAGGCAGGGCATTTCCAGTTTGGCTCTGTAGGCACTCAGTAAGCACCAAACACATGTGTGTTGTTGGGACTTCCCGGGGACAGTCTGCAAACTGTGGCTGTACCCAGGGGCGGCCAAGGCCTATGTGCAGGGCACAGCTCAGAGTCGCCTGCAAGAGTTCGACTCAATCTAGGTCTGCAGCTATCGAGCTGTCTGTCTAGGTCGTCAGAGAGTGCCCTGGGCAGCTCGGACCTAGGGACAAAGAGGCCACTTCATTAACATATAAAGACTAAAACCACCAAGACCTTTTTTTGTGTGGGGGAGGGGGCAAAAATGTGCTCAGATAAGTCCTAGAGATCAAAAATACAAATGGCCAATCAATATGTGGGGAAATGTCCAATCTCACTCATAGAAAAAAAAATTAAAACAACAAAATGATATTTGGGTCTAGCAAATTATCAAAGATTAAAATAAATTATAATCAAATCTCACACAGGCCCTGCAGAAAGAAGGGCATCCTCAAACATTGTGGGATAAAGCATACATTTTTCTAAAGCCAGTCTATGTAAAAACACGCATCCCCTAACTGTCCGAGAACGATGTGAGCTCTAAGAGGGCGCAGACCACCCTGTTTCATCTGGCGCCCGTCCCTGGCACCAGGACAGGACCTGGCACTGGCCCTCGGTACGTTTTTATTGGATGAATGAATGACGGATGGATGAATGGATACAGGAAACATTACGCAGGTGTTAAAATGACATTTACAAATGAATAGCATGGGAAAAGTTTACGATATAAGTTGAAAACGGATATATGTATCTCTAAATATAATTATCTCAACTATGTTAAAAATTCACATACACCAGCTAGGAATAAAAGCTGGAAAAAAATATACTAAAATGCTAACAGAGATTATATCTGAGTTGTGGGATTACAAAAGATTTTTAGTTCATTTTTCACAGTTTTCTTCCATGTCATCTAATTTTTCTCCAGGGGGCATCCATTGCTTTTAGACAAGGGGAAAGCAATAAAAGACTTTCAAAAGTACAGGCCTGGCTTGGGGCGGGAGGCATCTGGAGAAAGTTCCCTAGCACAGCACCTACCTGGGGGTCCTTGAGGCGAAGCAAATCTGGCTTCAAGTAATAGATGATGCCCTCGTAGGCCCCGGGAAGCGTGACGCCTCGGACCAGCAGGACAACCAGCATCAGGTAGGGAAACGTGGCTGTGAAATAAACCACCTGGGGTGGGGGCAGGCCAAAGTCACTCCGAGCGGGGACACAGCAGCAGGAGGGGCAGGGAGCCTTCTGGGGTCCTCCTGCCCCTACCCCAAGCACCAGTCCCACTCAGGGGGTCTGACGCACATCTCAGACAGCCGAGCAGAGCTGAGCACAGGGAGCTTTCCACACCTTCCGTTATGCATTCCAGCAGGTCCGGCTCCACGGTGCGAGATACACATCAGCAGGGCGGGGGGGGGGGGGGGGCCAGGGAGGGTGCAGCTTTCCAGCCCATAACCTTTCCAGGTCTAGTTTTTCCTTTTGTTTTTAGCTGACATGTAATAACTGCACATATTTATAGGATACAGGGTGATATTTCAATACGTGTACATGCTGTGTAGCGATCAAAGCAGAGCAAAGACTGTTTTTAAATCCGGAATCTGGTCTCCCTTAGTCCCTTTTCCTGGCTGATCTCCCCACATCCCCGGTGACAGTGGGACTCCCGCTTGCTAGGGAGAGGGTGACCGGGTTTGTACAGTGGTCCATGGGGAAATTTAGACTGTACGTTTCCAGGCTCGTGGCTGGGGAGCAGCAGTTTCCAGAGCTGCACAGGACCCGAGCTGGCCTTGCTGTCTGCTGTATCACCTCCTGTTTGTGTCATTACTGCACTGCTGTCACTCCGACAAGCAGAGAAGGGGAGGCTGCTGCAGCAACTACATGTCTGGCCGATCAGGGTATCCATACCCTGTCCATTCCTGGCTTTTAAAGAGCATGAAGCATCTGTCTCAGATTCCCTGGGTTGGAAACAATGTCCAAACCTGCCTTCTCTCCATGTCACAAGCCCACTGCTGTCCTGTCCTGGCTTGCACCCCTTCAAGGATTGGAAACTCACCCCCTCAGAGACAGTTCTGTTTACTAGTGCATACTAAACATTGTCTTGATATGTTGTTAAATACAAGCAGCAAGCCATAAGAGTGTGTGGTCCTAATTATGTGATATACATGCAAAATGGACACGCATACACATACACATACACACGACAGGAATCAGAAGGCACGGCGGCAAAGGTTAACAGGGATCCACAGTCCCAGCCAACATGCTGATGGCTCAGACAGTGCCTGGTTCCAACAGTGGGGCTTTTATGTTTCTTATTTTGCTCTGAATATTACTTATGCAAAAAGGTCTTTCAAAGTCAAATTGAAGAAGAAAGATTTTCCTTGTACTAAGCTAAACTCTGCCTTCCTCTGACTGCCCTGGTCTCACCAGACATTACTAAGAAAGAGTAGCATCGTAGCATAAATAAATCCATCCTCCAGAGGGTCCCCATCCATGTCCTGTGGACTCTGGGGGTCAGGAGAGCTAGCAGGAACAGGACACCTCACCTTGCCCGTGGACTTGATCCCCTTCCAGATGCAGAAGTAGCAGGCGACCCAGGCGAGCAGGAGGCACAGGGCCAGCTCCCAGCGCAGGGCCCCCAGGTCGTGGATGCCAGAGCTGATGCCCAGAACCCGTCTCCTGATGGAGTGGGGAAAGTAAATGGCCAGGTGAAGGGCTGAAGGGGCCACTTTCTCGCCACCAAGTCTCCAGATTCTCAGCACTAACCCACAGATCTGGTATTCTAGGCCCCCAAGCCCACTTCCCTCGTGGCCATGCCATGCTCCCACCTACGGTCCATATACCCCTGGCTGTTAGAAGACCAAATTACCATAATCCCTTATCCCAGGTGTCTTTGTCTTTCTAACTCGTTCAGAGTTTTCTGTGCACAGAGATGGAGAGAGGGGGCAGTGGTGAGGAATGCTTGCATGTGTCCATGGAGAGCAGATCTTTATGTATGCAGGCTGATGAGCAAGTATATGGGTATCGCATGGAGGGCCTGAGTGCATGCTAGTATCTAAAGCTGTCCGTCGGCGTGATGGAAATGTGTGTGTGAGGTTTACGTAACTGTGAGGGCATGTGTGTGAGGTCATAGGTAGACATATGTGAGAGGGTTGGTGAAGGCATGTGGGGTTCAGTCAGTGTGAAAGTACAGGTAGACTTGTGTCAGATTGCAGGTGGACATGTGCTGGCATGGGTGGCTCTGAAGGTGTAAGTAGTCACATGGGAGGGTGAATGTGTGAGTGGGTTTGCCCCTTACCGTGGTGCAAATACTCCCACTTTGCTGACTTCAGTCTACCAACATGACATCATTGAACACAGAGGTGGGAAGAGATATGCATAGTCACCACTCCCAAGGCTGTCAAGACTGTCTCCAGTCCCCACTAGACAAGTGTGGGTAGATGTGTGAGTGAAGGCAGGTGGGTTGAGGGCAGGTGAGAAGGTGTAGGTAAACATGCATGAGAATGCAGGCGAACAGCGATGGACGGGTGTGAGTCCAGCTGGATAAGTGGGTAGATGTGAGAGTGTTCCCTCATTCCTCAGTGATGCATGTGGTTGGCTGTGGGGTAGGAGGCGGGAAAGTGCTAGAAAGCATGCACAGAGAGTCTTAAACTTGCACACAAGTCATCCAAATTTGCACCCCAAACATTCAAACTTGCACAGCTCAGACATCCAAATTTCCTCTGCTTGGGGCCCCTAGCACGTGGCAACCAGGCCCAGTACCTACTCCCAGAATTCCATAACAGGTGAAGTGAAGTTCTCAGACAGGGTCACCATGCTGGCTGCTGAGTGGTTCAGAAAGTCCATGCAATGCTCTGTTGGGGACAAGAGGGCCTGTGTATCAGTTAAGGACAAGATGGTGACAGATGCCCTCATACCCCAGTTGTCCCGGACCCTCTGATCTTGCAACCTAGTGGTCCCCACATTCCCAGTCCCAGGAGCTTCTGTTGGAGCCCCCCCCCTTCCGGAGCATCAAGAGCCAGCTGCTCAGCTGCTGCTCCCCACGCGCCTTGCACTCACCACTCCTCTGGTCACCCTGCCACCCTCCCACGCAGCGCAGACTTCAGGTCTGCTCAGGCCGTGCAGGTGGCTTGCACAGCCAGTGCTCTCCTAACCTGCCCACCCTGACATCCCTGTCTCTCCATTCTACAGATGGGAGCACTGAGTCCATGTGCCTGCTTTGCCCCTGCTTGGAATGCCATTCACCTGCTGGGTTCTTTCTCATCCCTCAGGCCTCAGATGGCACTTCTCCTTCCCACTGTTAAATGGTTACTGTAGTGTTTCTTTCACCCATTGCAATTTGTAACTGTTTTGTTAACTTGTCTGTTTCTAGCACTAGACTGTAAACTCAGGAAGCCTGGGACTATGTTGTTCTTGCACAGCCTTGGGTCAAGCTCCAGCACTTGGCACGGTGTTTAGCACACAGTAGGTGCCCAGCACATACTTGTTAAATGAGTGCATGAGTGAGCGGTGACGCCTTGTAGCTGTGTAACACAGTCCTTAGGGTTCTCACAGCCACACTGGGTTCTCCCAGGGGCTGGTCTGAGGTCCACAGAGGTCAGCCAGCAGAACAGGCACCAGAGCCCACCACCTTGGCTTTGAGGCAAGCTCTGCCATACATTCCAACGTCATTTGGCCATCCCAGTCACCAAGGCCCCGCGACTGGGGGAGGCCCCATCCCAGGGGCTGAGAGATGGATACCTGTGTTCCAGGAGTTGGTGCAGGTCGTCCAGGGCAGCTCAGAGGTGAAGGAGCTGAACAGGTAGAATAGGGCCCAGGCGAGGATGATGATGTAGTAGATGTTCAAATAGGACTCGATGACCACAGAAGCCAGGCCGATGCCTGCAGGCAGGGAAGGGGAGCAGGGAGAGAACCCTGAGATCAGCATGGGCAAGAGAAGCCACACAGAAGCTTCCGGCTGTGGCTGCAGGGTGCTGGGTGCAGCACGAACAGCACCCCGGGGTTTGAGTCACTGGTGTGGGAAGCTTCGCAGCGTGTTCGCCAAGGGAGAAAAGCGGGTGACAGAGTGCTATGGTGTGCATTCTCCCAGTTTTGTAATATATGTTTGAATTTTTTTCATGAGAAAATTCTGTAAGGATCTCAACCCAAAGTTAACAAGTAATTCTCTAAGTGATAGAATTTTAATTCACTGTTTCAAATTTTATTCTTTTTGCCTATCTGCATTTTCTAGTTATTTTATGATTACGTAATCACATGTTACTTGTACAGTGAAAAGGGGCAGGGAGAATAAAGGCACAAGGAGGAAAATTTGATAAGAATTGGCCTCAGGATAACGGCAGAAATATTAACAAGAAACCAGAAAGGAAGAGAGGAGCGGCCCCATGGGACTGCAGGTGTGGACAGGGGTGCAGCCCCCACCCCCACACTGGCCGTGCCGCACTGCCCCACCCCACTTGCTCTGAGTTCCCGGAGGGCAGAGACTCCGTAGGTCGTCGTCTGGGCAGTTGGTGAAGGACTATGGACCTTTCTAGAACAGGCTGGTTGAAATATCAATGTTGACTTTGAAAAAAACCACCGCTCGCCTGGCAGCAAAGGGTGCTGCCCGTGGTGGGGCAGGATGCTCAGAGCCACGGATGCCCCCGACACACACGCGCGCGCACACACACACACACACACACATACATATTCACACGCACGCACACACACGCATACACACACATACATATACACATACACGCACACACATACATATACACACGCACATACACGCACACATGCATACACACACAGACACGCACATACACACATGCACACATACATATACACATGCACATGCATACACATACACACATACATATACACATGCACACATGCATGCACATACACATGCACGTACATACATATACATGCATACATATACACCCATACACACACGCACACATACATATTCACATGCATGCATGCACATACACACATATACACATACATGCACACACATACATATAAACACGCACACACATATACATGCACATACGCACATGCATATACACACATGCACACATACATATACATACGCACATACACATGCATATACACATATATACACATGCATGTACACATGCACATGCACACACATATACACATACATATACACACATGCGCACACATACACATACATATACACATGCACACACATGCACACATATACACATACATATACACATGTGTGCGCACACATATACACACATATACATATACACACGCACACAAGTACACACGTGTGCGCGCCCCTGCTCTGCTGGCCCGGGCGCTGTGAACGCACCTGGCGGGCGCTAGCTCAGTGTCATCGAGGGCTCAGACGCCTGCAGCCATGAGGCGCGGGAGGCAGGCAGAATGGGAGGGTGGCGAGACCACTGTGCAGGTGTGCACCTGGAGTGAGCCCTCCCAGAGGCCCCTCCCTTCAGCTTGGAAGAGAAGGAGGCAGCAGCAGTGTCCCCTCCCCTCCCTGTGGCCGGTGTGCGCCCTGCCCGACGCCTCTCCAACGCCAAGCTTGCCTGGACCTGCAGGGAGGACCAGGGTGAGACAGGCAGCCACCGCTGGGGTCCGAGCAGAGCCGCAGGCCCAGGCCTTGGCACCCGCAGAGCACCCGGCACCTGCGAGCAGAAACTGGTGGGCCCAGCCTCATTTTGCCCCAGACCCTCACTGCTGCCTCTTCAGGGGTCCCATGGGCACCCGCCGCCAGTGGGCAGGAGAAAGCGTTTGCCCCGCCAGGCTCTCCTCTGTCCAGCCTGCCGAGCTGGGCCGCCAGATAGCCTCGTCTCTGGGGCTTCCTCCTGGACCGGCGCGAGGGGAGTGTCCCCTCGCCGTTTCAAATAGACAGGGAACTTCGCAGGGACAAGGAGACCCCTTGGGTTTCCCGCTAGCCCCCAGGAGACTGTCTCAATCAGCTAAAAAGGAGGTGGGAGAAGAACAGCCCAAGCTGCTCGTGCAGTGCCAGCAGCTGCAGCGAGAGTGGCGAGAGCTGTCTCTGACACGGCAAGAGGGAAGAGCATGGCACTCAGCTCGGGGCCTGGGATCAAACCCTTATCGTCTTCATCTCAAAATAAGGTTAGTAAAGTTCCTGTGTTTCCCTGAAAATAAGCCCTGCCCATAAAACAAGCCCTAGCAGGATTTCTAAGCATTGGCGCAATATAAGCCCTACCCCAAAATAAAACCTAGTGACGGGCGTGGCCATGCAGCGCATCTGCGCAGCCCGTGCGTGTGGTCGCGGAGCGGGAAAGAACACGAGCAGCCCTTCTCATCTGCCCCGTGAGAGCTCTAGTGCTCAACATGAGAGATTGGGGTCGATGGTTCTAAAGGAAATAGAGTCACAAGAAATTCAGGATGGAATTTAGGGTTTGGAGAGTGATAATGATGGTCCAGAAGAAGACGACTTCACTATACTTGAATAAATGTAGATTGTTGTACCGTACTTAAAAAAAAAAATGACACATCCCCTGAAAATAAGCCCTAGGGTGTCTTCTTGAGGAAAACTAAATATAAGAGCCTGTCTTATTTTCGGGGAAACACGGTATTAGAGGATTAGATGAGAAAACACACACAAATTGCTTACATGAGCCCTGACATATAGTAGGGCCCCACAGATGTTAGCTGTCACCACCACTACGATTCTGTACTTTGGAGGCCTGTCGGGGACCATGCTATATATGCAGAACACGTTTTCCATGAAGCTGATGGAGATCACACTTCAGTGTTCCTCACGGGCAGGGACCCCGTCCAGGCCTCTGCACCTTATCTGGCATTGCTTTTCTTGAAGAGGGCCCTCCTCCACACGTTGGGTGAGCTCTGGGCCCCAGGAAGCCTGGCATGCCCTTAGTACAGGCTGGGAGGGGACGAACGCGGCGTGGGTGGGGAAGGCAGGGAGGGGCGCTGGAGGGATGCAGGCGAGGCGATGGCTCCGTGGACAGGAGGGAGAACACCCACCCTGGAAGAGGGGGCAGATCTTCCTCCAGGCTGTGACGCTCCCTTGGCTGGTGTATTGGCCCAGCGCCACCTCCAAGAAGAACACTGGGATGCCGCATGCGAAGAAGAAGAGTAAGTAGGGGATGAAGAATGCTCCTGTGGAGGAGAGAGAGACAGGGCTGAGCCACACCCTCAGCTCTTCCTCAGCCTTGCCGCTCCCAGCCCTGCCTCCCAGACTTATCCTCCTGCACCCCCATTCTTAATCGCCCTCCTCACACCGCCCGAGGGCCCGGGTCACCTTCCTCCTGCCTGTGCACTGTCCGGGGTGTTAGGCAGACACAGGTGAAATTCTCTGTTCTGAATTCTACTTGGGATAGGAAAAGAATTTTAAAGGGAAATGAATGAAAATTTAGGCGGAAATTGTAATATATACACTATTTACTTTCTTTGTGTACTTTACAAATCTAGTCAATATGTTATTTTTGGAACAAAATATGTGCTCTATATAATTTGATATGCTTATTCAATTATCAAGTTTGATACATTTTAGAGAAAAACAAAAACGCCTTGGAAACATTATTTTCCCACTAATAATTTTCAGAGGGATTTTTTCCCCTCCACCAGGCTCTGATCTGTGCTGGGCTCCCAGCAGGGAAGGGATGTGATTAGCTGTTATTAGAAGCTGACCCACAGGTGCCCAAGGGAGGCCAACCCTAAAAGACATCAAGGAAATTCTACAAGAACAGAATCTGAAGACAACCCCAAGCCCAGGATGCCTCAGAAGTTCGTCTCTGTGTGACCAGATCATTCTTCATTGCACAGTTATAGCACTGAGCACTTATTTGGTGCTTACTGTATCAGGCACTCTTCTAAATGCTTTACCAACATCGAAATCCTCACAAAACATTACCTCCCAAGGGGTAGATACTATTGCTGTGCCCATTTTACAGATGAGAAAACTGAGGGCAGTTTGAGGATGCAAAAACTGAAGCATAAACAAGGAAATTGAGGCACAAACCTAAGTGGTCTGATCCCAAGTCTTTTAACCACTACATTATAATGCCACTGAAGTAATCCATATTAGTTCATAGAAAAAAATAGAAAGTACAAAAGGAAAGAAAGGAATGTATATCCTTCCAGAATTCTTATCAGTATCCACACATATATTTCTTTTTTGCAAAAATGAGAATTTTCTATATAATATTTTATAACCATTTTTAAAATTTGTATCATGAACCTCTTCATATCAGTGTATATCTATTAATATACCATCATTTTAATCATCGTAAAGTGTCCCTCTGTACGCATCTATCCTAGTGCATTTCCTCACCCCTCATCCTCCTACTTTTCTGTTGTTCCATAAGAAACACTGCCTTGACGAAGAACATTACCTGCACCCTTGTGCATTTGTCTAATTTGCTCCTTAGTATGAATTTTCAATAGAGGAATTGCTGAGTCTAAAGGCATGCACACGTTTTTGCTTTGTGTGTGTGTGTGTTGTGTGTGTTCAAATATACATGATATAAACCATTTTAACTGTTTGTAAGTATATAATTCAGAGGCATTAAGAACAACTCGCAATGTTGTGCAAACATCACCACCGTCCCTCTCCAGAACTCTTTCTATCATCCCAAAGTGAGGCGATGTACACATTAAACACTAACTCCCATTTCCCTCTTTCCCCAGCAGCATCTCCATGTAAGTGGAATCATACAACATTTATCTTTTTGTGTCTGATCCACATTCTAGCATGTATCAGAATTTCCTTATTTTTTAAGGCTGAATAATATTCCCTCATATAGAAATACCACATTCTGATTATCCGTTCATCCGTTGATGGATATTTGGGTTGTTTCCACCTTTGGGCATGCATATTTTTTCAAGATCTTTGACGTGCATTTCCAATTTGCCCTCCAAAACTCTTGTACCAATAATCCATATTCCCAATAGCAATATGTGAGAGTAAAAGAGGAGGGTTCGTGTTCTCTAGACCTTAGGGAGCCACACAAATCAGTGGCCGCACACTGAGTCCTGAAGTCCTTCTTAATGTGCCTCTCTGACCTGCACAGCACCATAGCACCATGGACTCAGGTTCGAGTGGCTTGCATGGTGCCAGCACAGCATTCGGAAGGGACGTGGCCAGAGGACTCCCCCAGAGGGCACTTTTCAGGACGCTAGTTATGGGGACATCAGCTGTGTGGAGGCCCATCCCTCTGATACAGGAGGTGGCTTCAGTCCTCTATTTGCAATGTGGACTTCTGTCCACAGAAGATGGGTGATCTCAGGAGGCTGGACCTTGGGGGCAGGAAAGGGTTGGCTGTGGACTAGGGACAGGGCAGCCTCCACTCTGGGCTTCTGCCCTGGGCTTTCAACACACTGACACTGCAAACACCCTCCCTCAGGCCATCGTGCCAGAACTCCTGCTTGGGACGTTGCCCTGTCCACGCCACGGGCATCTGCCCAGGCTGTGAACACAGCAGCCTGAAGAGCTCTCCGGGGGTCTTTGCAGACAGAGTGCCTTAGTTCAAAATCTCCCTCCCAAGCTCCAAGTTCATCCCTATTGTCTCTACCACATGCTCTTTCCTGAACCCCTGACCGTCTAGACAATCAGAATTTCATAAAGCTCTCTTTTAGGGTGAACCATTTTTTATGGATGACCTAGTTTAGGGGCTCCCTTATCAGACCAATAAACTTATTACTATTTTTTGTTTCTTTTGAAATATTTTTGTCTACAGAACTGTGTTTACTAATTAATAATCAATTAATTTCCCTGCATATATTAATAAAAATCATGTATAACTGCCAATCAGGGCTTAAGGTCCGTATAATTCTAGCCTAAAGCAAAAAATTGACATATGGGTTAGTCCGTGATGTCACGTTACCACATGAATTCACTAGAGAGTTGTTAGAAATAAGGAAACTAATTCCTGACCCTTCTTTACTACCATCCTAGACACCAAAGACCAGCAACCCCTGGCTGGGCCCCCTGACTTCTTTTGGTCCGCTTAAGCTAAAGGTAAAGGAGAGAAGAGTTAGGGATGGCAGCATGTCACGGTGTCCTTCCCAGGAAGTAGGCTGGGACAGAGCTAATATGACAACACTGGGAACAGATATGTGATGCTGTCTCACAGACGACCCGGCTCAGCCCACACCACCCCATGACCTCATGGGTGCCCCTGTCTTTCTCCACCTGCCCCACATCCAGGACACAGGCCTCAGCCATAGCGCAAGCCATCATGCAGAACAGAACACCTCAAGGCCCCTCTTCAGGCAGGTGAGCCAGGTGTGTGCAGTCAGGAACTGGGGGGGCAGGCGGCCTGGGTTCCAGGATCCTCCTGCGACCACTGCTCCATGGTCGAGGGCGAGCACTCTTCTATGAAATGAGGGCTCAGTCAAGATCACCTTCCACTCTAGCCTAGACATCCCCTCTAGCCATGGAGACGTGACCCGGCACGAAGAAAAACTACTGTCTGCATCCTACATACCGTGTACCACTACTGTCTGCATCCTACATACCCATGTCCAACTACTGTCTGCCATCATACATACCCGTGTCCCACTACTGTCTACCATCCTACATACCCATGTCCCACTACTGCCTGCATCCTACATACCTGTGTCCCACTACTGCCTGCCATCATACATACCCGTGTCCACTACTGTCTGCATCCTACATACCCGTGTCCCATTACTGTCTGCATCCTACATACCCGTGTCCCACTACTGTCTGCCATCCTACACACCCGTGTCCACTACTGTCTGCATCCTAGATACCCGTGTCCCACTACTGTCTCCATCCTATATCCCCGTGTCCCATTACTGTCTGCATCCTACATACCCGTGTCCCACTACTGTCTGCCATCCTACACACCCGTGTCCCACTATTGTCAGCATCCTACATACCCATGTCCCACTACTGTCTGCATCCTACATACCCGTGTCCCACTACTGTCTGCATCCTACATACCCGTGTCCCACTACTGTCTGCATCCTACATACCCGTGTCCCACTACTGTCTACCATCCTACATACCCGTGTCCCACTACTGCCTGCATCCTACATACCCGTGTCCACTACTGTCTGCATCCTACATACCCGTGTCCACTACTGTCTGCTTCCTACATACCCGTGTCCACTACTGTCTGCATCCTACATACCCGTGTCCCACTACTGTCTGCATCCTACATACCCGTGTCCCACTACTGTCTGCATCCTACATCCCCGTGTCCCACTACTGTCTGCATCTTACATACCCATGTCCCACTACTGTCTGCGTCCTACACACCCGTGTCCCACTACTGTCTGCATCCTACATACCGGTGTCCCACTACTGTCTGCATCCTACATACCGGTGTCCCACTACTGTCTGCATCCGACATACCCATGTCCCACTACTGTCTGCATCCTACATACCCGTGTCCCACTACTGTCTCCATCCTACATCCCCGTGTCCCACTACTGCCTGCATCCTACATCCCCGTGTCCCACTACTGCCTGCCATCATACATACCTGTGTCCACTACTGCCTGCATCCTACATACCCGTGTCCCACTACTCTCTTCATCCTACATACCTGTGTCCACTACTGTCTGCATCCTACATACCCATGTCCCACTACTTTCTGCATCCTACATACCCGTGTCCCACTACTGCCTGCATCCTACATACCCGTGTCCCACTACTGTCTACATCCTACATGTCCAACTACTGTCTACATCCTACATGTCCCACTACTGCCTGCATCCTACATACCCGTGTCCCACTACTGCCTGCCATCATACATACCCGTGTCCACTACTGTCTGCATCCTACATACCCATGTCCCACTACTGTCTGCATCCGACATACCTGTGTCCCACTACTATCTGCATCCTACATACCCGTGTCCCACTACTCTGCATCCTACATAACCGTGTCCAACTACTGTCTCCATCCTACATACCCGTGTCCCATTACTGTCTGCATCCTACATACCCGTGTCCCACTACTGTCTGCATCCTACATACCCGTGTCCACTACTGTCTGCATCCTACATACCCGTGTCCACTACTGTCTGCATCCTACACACCCGTGTCCCACTACTGTCTGCATCCTACATACCCATGTCCAACTACTGTCTGCCATCATACATACCCGTGTCCCACTACTGTCTACATCCTACATACCCATGTCCAACTACTGTCTGCCATCATACGTACCCGTGTCCCACTACTGTCTACCATCCTACATACCCGTGTCCAACTACTGCCTGCATCCTACATACCCATGTCCAACTACTGTCTGCCATCATACATACCCATGTCCCACTACTGTCTGCATCCTACATACCCATGACCAACTACTGTCTGCCATCATACATACCCGTGTCCCACTACTGCCTACATCCTACATACCCATGTCCAACTACTGTCTGCATCCTACATACCCATGTCCAACTACTGTCTGCCATCATACATACCCATGTCCCACTACTGTCTACATCCTACATACCCATGTCCAACTACTGTCTACATCCTACATGTCCAACTACTGTCTGCATCCTACATATTCGTGTCCACTACTGTCTGCATCCTACATACCCGTGTCCCACTACTGTCTGCATCCTACATACCCGTGTCCACTACTGTCTGCATCCTACATACCCGTGTCCAACTACTCTCTGCATCCTACATACCCATGTCCCACTACTGTCTGCATCCTACATACCCGTGTCCCACTACTGTCTGCATCCTACATACCCATGTCCACTACTGTCTGCATCCTACATACCCATGTCCACTACTGTCTGCAGCCTACACACACGTGTCCCACTACTGTCTGCATCCTACATACCCGTGTCCCACTACTGTCTGCATCCTACATACCCGTGTCCCTATACTGTCTGCATCCTACATACCCGTGTCCCACTACTGCCTGCATCCTACATACCCGTGTCCCACTACTGTCTCCATCCTACATCCCCGTGTCCCACTACTGTCTGCATCCTACATACCCGTGTCCCACTACTGTCTGCATCCTACATACCCGTATCCCACTACTGTCTGCCATCCTACTTACCCATGTCCCACTGCTGTCTGCATCCTACATACCCGTGTCTGCTGCTGTCTGCATCCTACATACCGGTGTCCCAGTACTGTCTGCGATCCTACAGACCTTGTCCCACTACTGTCTGGCATCCTACATACCCGTGTCTGCTGCTGTCTGCCATCTGCCACCCCCTCAGCACTCTGGATACGTTCTGTTTGTAGCTAAGGCAGTGCCTGTCGCGTGTGCATGCAATTGCATTAGTTGAATCAATCAATTGTATCAACATAACATTTGTAGAGTAATGAAGGAGCTTATGAAGAACTCGGATTCCTTGGTTCTGCCCATCTCCCCACATCTCCTTCACATGGCCCTGTGAGGTATCATCCCCTTCACAGAGGGGAAACTGAGGCTAGGCGTGGGACTGGAACACAAACCCAAGCCCTCCACCTCTGTGACAGCCCTCCTTCCGTTTTACCACACTGGCCAGGAAAGGGGCCCAGGTGGCCACTGCCCCGCTGTGCGCTGCCTAGTCACGGCCCCCGTCCCGCCCACCTCAGAGTGAACTCACCTCCCCCGTTTTTGTAGCAGAGATAGGGAAACCTCCAGACGTTGCCCAGCCCGATGATCTCCCCGGCCACTGACAGCACAAACTCCATCTTGTTGGTCCATTGGCCCCGCTCCTTCACCTGGGCCTCACCTTCCCAGTCCAACTTCTCTCCCTCCTCCGGGACCCAGGAGACCACAGAAGGCCCGCGCCCATGCGCTGCCGCTTGTCCATCCATAGCTGTGTGGTGGCTGGGCAGGGTGGAATGAGAGGCACCGCCTGGGGGAGGAGGAGGAGCAAGCGATAAAGCCCTAGCTGGCGCCCCGTCCCTCTTGCCCCTGCTCACCTAGCCGTTGGAATATTGCTTTTCCTCCCGAACCCTTCACGTGCCCCAAAGCCGTCGCATTTACACCTAAAGTTGTGCTTTGTTCTCGGGACACTGAGAGCAAGGGAGCAAATCTTGGCTTGCCGACTTTGCAGATGAGAAAATCCAGGTCTTCACAGACAAAGCCACTTGCCCTAGATCATCCAAAAGTCCCTTTTTATCTTTGCAGCCAGTCGCCATTCCAGCTGGCCTGTCTGCTGAGGACCTCAGTGTGCAGAGCGACGCCAGCCCAGCCTCTGTCCAGGACAGAGTGATCAAAGGCTGCTGAGGTGGCCAGGGCCAAAGGGCAGGTGCGGCCAAGGTGACTGCAGGATCCCGTCCTGGCCAGTTGTGTGCTCATCCCTGTGCCACAGTGATTGATCAGTGCGGGTAAACAGGACAGCCAGAGAGCCAGGGGCTCCAACCAGGAAGAGAGGGCAAGACGAGGCCTCCGAACATGGCCAGGCGGCACCAGGGCAAGGGGAGGCCTTTGAGGGAACCCCGTTCCTTTCCTCTGGGCTGCATCTCTGTCCTGTGAAAAGGTGGGGGAGTCGGTGCCAGATGTCCCCAGAGCAATGCTCACTTGGATGATGGTCATCTCCAGTGACCCCAAAGTGACCAAATTACTGAGCCCCTCCAGAAGGAAGCCTGGCAGTGGCTGATCGTCACAGCAGGTCACTTCCCTCCCTCTCCCTGCCCTCCTGGAGAGCCCAGAGCTCCCTGGACTTCCAGAAAAATGATATGAGACACTCTCAGTTTTACCCTCTGTCCCCCTTGTCTGTGTCAATTGCCAGCAGATAAACTGTGTCGTGTCAGGCTGTACCTGGAATCCATGCCTGCCTTCTCCCCACCCACCCACCCACAATCGCTCTGAGGCCGCCCTGCCTTTATTTCTGGGTAATTGCCGGAAGAGGTGCCCAGGGGAAGCACCCATCCTGTTGCCCTCGCCTCTGAGGGGCACCAGGGCCATCGAGTGACCAAGTCTACCCAATGCTCTAAGGTCCTTGGAGGCTCCAGGGAAACACAAGGGATTCTTTTCATTAAGAAGGAGTCTGTGTTATTTGTTGGTCCTTTTAACCCAGGCAACAGCCCAAGCTCAAGCCCAAGCCCAAGTCTATTAGAAAGGCGTAGGCAGGAGCTATTTGAGGTTATGGAAAATTTTGAAGGTGACTTGGAGGGTGCAGGTTGTCCCAGGAATGGGAAAGCATGTCAGGGTGAAACTGTGGTATTGGGATCTGCCCAGAGGCTTCCATCGCAAGCTCAAGCCTGGGAGGGAAGATGAGGAGAGCGTGGCAGGGTGGAAATCAAAGGCCTAGCAGGAAGGCGAAGGCGAGGAAAGAGCTTCCAGGCTCAGAGTGTCAGCCAGACCCCGGGGGCCTGAGAACCAGAGCTCAGGCGGGAAGGTCGTGGGTCACCCAGGGAGAGGCTGGTGATACAGGAACCCTGAGAAGTGGTCCCTGAATCATCATCAAGCAAATGCACAAATATGTGACTATGAAGACACTGATGAAAAAGTACCAGACCAGAAACCCCCCTCTAGTCCGGGTCTGGCTGCTGGCAGCAGCAGGCCGACCCCTGAGCCAGCGCTGTGCTGAGGACACACGAGCCTTCGCACGCACTATTAATTCCACCCTCATAACCAGTCTTCGCAGCAGGCATTACCGTCGGCTCCACTTTACGGACGGGGAGGTGACACTTTGCGAGGCTGGGGAACAGCGCCCGGCGCCCAGCGGCTGCTCAGTGAGGCACTGGTGCTCGGAGGGCAAATCTCGCCTCCTCTCCGCCTCAGTCTCCCCGGGAGATGGAGCAACCTCTGCTCAGCGGGTATTTGGGGCAGGCGGGTAGGAAGCCGAGGCCCGTGGAAGAGAAGGAGAAACCACTGCCTGGGCTTGGAGCCACCAGGGAGCTGGCTCTGGGCAAACCCCACGCAGAGACCAGAGCAGCTGCTCCGGGACCAAGGGGCTTCAGAGTTGGAGGAGGGGGTGTGGTGGGCAAAGGAGGAGACGGAGGAGGGAAGGGAGGGAAAGCCAAGGAGAACCCCCATGGGCCCCGGATTTGGGTCGTATCGGGGACGGGGACAAGAGAAAAGAGAACATGAACTGATGAACTGACACTGACATAACACATTTTAAAAAATAAAATAAAAATGCTAATTGGGAGGAGCATAACTCACCGGTAAGAATGCGAAGCTGGAAGGGCAGCAGGGAGCGTGAGCTAGTGGGAAGAGAGGCTGGCCCCGAGCCAGGGCAAGTCGAACACAGGCCTAAACTGCAGCAGGAGGGATCTAAGTTAGACTCAGGGAAGAAATGTCCTGGAGGACGTTAGACACCTAAACATGCTGTACCCACCTCTCCTTTTTGGGTTACTTTTAAAAGGCAACAGGACAGCACACCCTACCCCCACTGTGCCCTCCTACCCCTCACCCACCCGCTAGGACTCCTGGAGCAACAGTGCTGCCCACAGCCGAGCTGACTTCCCCAGGGTCCACCCGGCTCTGCCACCTCTCAGGCCCGGCATCTCTTGCTCAGGCTGCCCACCCACTTTGCCAAGCTGGAGCAGGTCTGGAACTCGCCGGACCTCAGCGTCCTCCGGGAGCAAAGACAGCCGTGCTCACACTGGGCTCGGTGCTGCCGTGGAAGAAGCCTTCAAGAGTCAAAAAAGCCCAAGGCTAACTCTGTTTGGGAAGCTGGGCATGTAGACAGGGGCCTGGCCAGGCCTAGCAGAGGGCCTGCTCCCTGCTTAGCTCCAGCGAGGAAGGGCCCAGCCCCTGGGCGTGGGGGACAGGACGCCCCAGCCCATGCTTCAGCCCACACCCACATACCAACACCCGTTCCCGTACACATGCTGGTGCCATTCCCCGTCACGTCCCTTTGCACACGCATACCTGTGTGCATGGCACCAAAGCCCGGCTCTGTTGGTAGTCCTTCACACCCCGTGGGCTGCTTGGCTCGCCTGGTGGCCGCCCATGCCTCCCCTCAGCTCCCCCACTGCCCCTTGGCACCAGCACACCCATGCCTCCCCCCACCCAAAGCCAAGGCAGAGTCCCCTCCTGGGAGACACCTGGCTTCCCGCTGGCCGTGCGGGGGGGGGGGGGGGGAAGTGGAGGGCAGGAGCCCCTCACCTGTGATCGTTAATTGCAGGTGGTGGAACTTCAGGAATGCCCCGAGGATCCTCCTGTCCACTCTCCCTTCCCAGCTTGCTGGGCACGGGCTTCTTCCCCGCCCCCGGGCCAGGTGACCACCCCTCTGCCCACTGCCCCGGCCTGCTCCCCTCTATGCGCTTTCCTGCTACACAGGCTCATCCCTGAGCAGCTCCCCCTACTTGCCTAAGATTCCTGAACACCAGCCTTGCCTGGCCTGCTCACTGCACACCCCGCCTCCCGGCACAGACCCCTCAGCCCTGCAAGCCGCCCCGGGCCCCGCCCTCCGGCCCTCGGGGGCAGCAGGCAGAGACTGCCAAGGCACAGCCAGCCCCACTTCCTGCTCACCGCAGTCTCCAGCCTGGGCCCCTGCACCCAGCTCGGCTCCAGGCATCTGGCTCCAGGAGAGTCCCCGGCACTCCCACTCCGCTTATGAGAATGGCAAGAAAGACGGCCCTGAAAGGGAAACTGTGTCCTCCGCCCTCCCTCCTTCCCCGTCCTCCCTGCGCAGGGACTGCCAGGCAGAGAGCAACTCTGTATGTGCCTGAACGTACTGGGAAGAGAAGGGACAGAGAAGTCCCTCAAGCAACAGGAGGGACTGACGCCAAAAGTTTGTGAACCGGGATTACAACACCCAACCTCGAGGTCAGTCTCCTGTCTCCAGCGCCCTGTCCCGCCCCCCGCGGCGGCGCCTCCCTGCAGACAGTGCCCTCCCCCGGGCGACCCTCCCACACTGGGCTCAGCCACTCCCTCCAGCAGGGGAAGAGGCTCAGGGACCACACTGACACCCTCCTCTTGCTCCTGCCCTGGCCCCTGCCCCTCCCCATGGCCCTCCCAGCACCGCCTCTGCCGGCGAAGGGGTAGGGTGCACAGGGCAGGGCCCGCCCTCTCTACCGGAGCAGCAGATGGGAGCCTCCGCTCCAGGCTGGGAAGTCCTGGGAGGGGAGCTGGCCTCACTGCCAGGGCAAGAGGGTGAATCAGGCGCTGGAGTTTTCCACCAGTACCTGCCCCGTGGCTTCAAGGCAGGGCTCTGATCTAGACCTTCACAGGCACTGCACTTCCCTTGGGGTTTTCCTGGAAAAGCACTCTGAGCACATCTTCGGAAGCACAATGTAGAAAGGACACAGGCTTGCAGTCAGACACTCGGGTACCATGTGTCAGTCATGGCAGCCAGGTAAGGGTTTGAGCCTCAGTTTCCCCATCTGTCAATGTAGATAACACCTCCTTTGAGGGTTGCTGTGAGGGCTAAAGAGAAGAGGAGTGGGGAACCCTGCGGCCTTCGGATTTCAAGGTTGTTCTTTTTGAAGCACCAAAGGTGGCAAGAAAAGCTCCACCTTTCCCTGCTGCACCCCTTTCAATTAAAGGGTTTGTCCCGTGACACTTGGATTCAGTCCAAAGGCTGCATGGAAGGAGCCGCAAGGCTCTGTGCACTCCTGCTGTTCGCCATGGGTCCTCCGTAGCGGGGCTAGGAGGGGCAGTGCCGGCCCCGGGCAGCGCTGGCAATGCTCTGGCCCTCTTGCCACCAAGAGGGTGTGGAGGGAGAGAAGTGGGGAGAAGGGGAAATTTCCCTTCACATGTGCTTCCTCTTTGTATTTTAGAACTTCCCGGCAGGGGTGGGGTGTGAAGTGAGAGCCTCAGTCTGTAGTTTTCCACCAGCCTCCCCCTCCACGTCTCTCCAGCCTTCTTGGCACCTCCTGGGGGTTCCCCACCCAGACAAAGCCAGAGCAAGCCACGGTTCTCAGCCTCTGGCCCCTGTCAAGCCGGAAGCCCAGCACAGAGTCGGCTCTGGCAGAGCAGGCCGTGGCCCGGCCAGGACCCACTGTCCTGGCACTCAGCTGGGACAGGGTGGCCTGTCCCTGCATGCCAGGCCCACTGTGATTGGCCACAGAGCTTATTGAGGAGGGGACAGAGAAGTCCACAAGATTACCCAGTTGCATCTCTTCCAGAACAAAAGCCTCTCCATGAAGGGAAGAGGATGCGGCTCGGCAAGAGGGTGAATTTCCTCATTCATTCAAAAGTCTTATCCAGGGCCAACGCGTGGCATGCTTTCTGCCAGGACGTGGGGATGCTGAGGTGCCCAGCGATGGCCCGGCAGTCCTGCCACCAGTCCTCCCCCTTGTGTGAGAAGGCTGCCTTGTTTGACCTGGCCCAGGGAATGGAGTTTGATTCTCCCCAACCCCTCCCTGTCTTTATCCAGCAGCCTCTGACATCGGTCTTTCTACCTTAATGTTGAGCCCACCCCAGTACCCCCACCCCCAACACCACTGAGTATTCAGACCAATTGGCAAACTCCTGCAGGCCAGAGACCCCACCTTTGCAAGACAATGTCCCTGGAAAGTCTTGCTAAGACTGGGAGGGCCCAGAGTCAAGATGAAATGCGGTCAGGGAGCCAATTACCCTGCTGCAGGAAGGACAGTGGACACCAGAGAAGTTCTCCTCACCACCCTCATCCCCTAACCCCTGTGTGCCCTGAGAGGACTTGGCGTGGGACCTATTGCCCAAGAATTGAACTCAGATTAGGAGTTTTACATGTCACCTTATTTAATCCCCTTAAGAACCTTGAAACATAGGAATATTAGCCCCATTTTACAGATGAGAAAACTGAGGTGAACAGAAGGTAAGTGATTTGTCCCAAGGGCATGCACTAGTGAATGATGGAGCTGGGATTTGAATCTGGGCCTCTTGGCTCCAAAACTCTATACTCGTTCCACTGCCACACACTGTTTCCCAGACCACAGATATCTAAAGGGCAGGAGGCTTGTTTCTCTCTTAATGCAGTGCCGTCTCAGGGAAGACACTCGGTGTTGAAGGATGGGTGGATGGATGCATGGATGGACGCAACTTGAGGGGAGAAAAATGATCCCAGTCTTCCCTTTTGGGGGAGAGCATTGTTCTCCCAGAACGAGAGGATGGATGGGGGCTTGAGGGACTCAGGTCCTGCTTTTCTGGACAATATGCTGTGCTGAGCAGGACCACAGGATGCAGGAGTATTTAGGGCTCCCTCTCCCTTGGCTTCTAGCAAAAATACTTAGCTCAATAAATGTGTGGCTTCCCCCCTAGGCCCCAGTGCAGCCTGATATCATCCCCTGGAGAAGCTAGGGGCAGCAAGGATCTCTCTGAACATTTCTTGTTTATTTTTTTTGTTGTTGTTTATTTTTTGTTGTTGTTGTTATATTGACAGCCCAGTGCGGTGGGGCTGGAGCTATGGGAAATAGGATGGATTTGCTTGAACATGTCCCCAGGGCAGCGGTGCTTATACCCTCTACTGGACCCAACGACACCATAATATAAGTAGTATTACTCCCATTTTATAGAGAAGAAAACTAAGGATCAGAGAGGTTAGCTTGCCCCAGGTCCACAGCTAGTAAGTCAAAGGGCCAGAATCCAAGCCAGGACTTCAAGCCCCTATAAGGGCATGTGCTTGGCTGGACTGGTGTCTCTGAGTTTGTGCACGTTTATCGGAGGACAGTGAGGGACTGTGAGTCCACGCACATGTGTGGGTCTGAGACCTAGGTACACATGCGTGCATGAGGCCCCAAGGCAGCCTGGCAGGCTCGGCACCTGCTCAGTAGCTTCCCTGCAGCCCTGCACTATGTCTCTCACTCTCCAGTCACCTGCGCTTCTCTCCCCCTTCAGCCAGGGCTTGCCCCAGCCTCAACCTGCCTTTCTCTCCAGCAGGAGTGGCCTCCAGAGGAAAGAGAGTTCCCCTTCCTTCTCCATCTTCTTCCACTGGAAACTGCAGGATCCGTCAGGGTTTCCCTTCCTGGCAGGGAAAGCAGACAGTGCTGACAGCTGCCCTCCTCCACCACCACCACCGTCTCTCCACCTTCATTGGCTAAAGCCACGTCCAGGTCATCCAGGTGCACACGCTTCCTTTCCCCGCCCTGGCCCGGCCATCAGCATTCGCACAGCCCAGTCTGCCAGCCCCACCTGGGCTGTTGGGGGCTCTCCCCTTCACCCCCCACCTGGTTTAATGATCTAAGGCTGTTTGGCACCAGTGACTGAAAAAACACACCCATTACCCCACCTGAGCCCCACAACAAACCTGTGGAGGTGCCTCGTACCAACTCCACCTGAAAAACAGAGAACATGAACTCCAAGCAGCTCCTGCAGAGACACGTGGCAAGGTAGAGGCAAGTGGGGTCTGGAACCGTATCCCCTGCTCCTTACGCCCACAGGCGATCACCACGCCCACAGGACTCCGGCCACCATGCTGAGCTGTCTACATCCCTCCCTAGGCTCGCAGGTTCTGGCAGCTTCGCGGGAGGATGACAGAGAGCCGGGCATGACGTGCTAGAGCAGCCTCCCCAGCCCGCGTCACCAGGCACCTTCCCACACCCCCGTTTTTCTGTCTCATAGCTCTTTGCTCTTTTCTTCCGTAGCATTTGTCACATTTGTTGTTTAAGAAATAGCATCTGTTTTTGCTCCCCATGCAGCACGAGCCTGGCGCACGGTAAGTGCTCTGTGAACCGTCTCAGCAAGGGAGCTGCCGCCGCACCACGGCAGAGCCTGGCGCCCTTGGGAAGCGCCCGGCCAGCTGTTCTCCAGGAAGCAGCAGCCAAGGCTGAACCCAGTGGGCCTGCTGTCATTGCTTCTTGCAAACTCTTCAAGGGACAACATATCAAAACTTGAAGACTAGTAAAGATTTCAGCGGATTCCTGCTGACATTTAAAAAACTAAGAAAATCAGCCAGGGAACCTGCACGCCCTCAGACTGCGGCTCTAGGAATTGCAGGGTGCTCCCTGGATCGGCACCAGAAGAACCATCTGAGCAGAGGCGGCAGACACCTCCGCACGCACGCAGTCAGGGGAAATGCAGCCGCCACCTCAGACACACCCACAGCAACAGCCAGACACACAGGCCAGCTCCCGCCACCCGGTCGGAGGTAAGGCTGCGGAGACACCTGCGGGGCCGTCTAGGCAGGTGGGGTGGCTTGACGTTCACCTGGATGCTCTTTGCAGCCACACGCTAAGGGCTCATCCCGCAGCCCAGGCCCTGACGGTGGGGCTGGGCCGTGCAGCGCCACCCCCTTGTGGCCCGTCGGTGGCGACATGTGGCATCTCCGGTTCCCAGAAGCGCGAGGAAGTGGGGTCCCTCTGCTGGCCGAGCCAGGCGGTACCTTGCCGCCTGGGGCCTGCGGCCCCCCCACCCTCTCCCACGCTGCAGGCCAGGCGGGCACACGCACGCAGCCTGGCGAGCAGGCAGGCAGCCCCGGCAAGGAGAAGCCCACGTGCCGTTCCTCCTCTTTTCTTTTGCTCAGGCCTCCTTCATGCCTCCCTCAGTTTCCTTTCTTAATTCCACAGCACACAGCCAGGGCAGGGGCCTGGGAGGCGTGGAGGGCGGCCTGACAGCCTCCTCTGCTCCACGCCTGCACCACCCTGCACCGCGGCCCCCACCTCTGCTTGGTGGGCCACCAGAGGGCCCGGGAGGAGGCAGGCTCTCGACGTGGGGGGCTCAAGGCCGCAGGCAGAGGGATAGAAACCAGACAGAGCTGCTGGCAGCCGGGGGGAGAGGCAGATTTAATGGAATGCAAGGTAAGAGGGCCTGTGGCCAACAATGTTCTCACCCACCAGCCCTCGCCCAGCTCCCCAAGGCCCATCTCAAAGGATGCTCTTGAAATCTGCATTGCACTTTGCCCTTGGAGAGGAGAGCTGGGGTGGGAGGCCCCAGCTCAGAAGGCGATTCCAAAAATGTCCCCTTTTGTGTCATCTGCCCCAGCTGGGGGCAGAGAAGTGCAAGGCTGCCTCTGCCAGCGCCCCCTGCAGCTGGTGCCACAGCCAGGCCCCTGGGTGCCATGGGGACCTGCCCCTAGCAGTGAGACTCCAGTTCTGTGAGTGTGAGCAACGAAGTCCTGGGGGTGGCAGGAGCAGAGGGTCTCCCCTGCTGCCGTTGGGGCAGGTCCTCAGCTGGGCACACGAGCTGGCGGATTCTCTGCAAGGAGAGTGGAGGTGGCTGTCATGCGGTTACATGGGGCGGCCTGCCGGGCTCCCATCACCGTGTCCGCCTGCCCACCAGGGACCAGCCCTGTCCTCACGGCCTGTGTCCTGGAGTCACCCAGTCTCTTCCCGAGACTTCTCAGCACTACCCACGCCATGCACGGGCCCTGTGGGTGCCAGCTCCTACCTGGCCAGCAGCCCCCACTAACTCCCTACCTCTCGGAGGGGTCCTTTGAGGGTGCTGAGTTTGTAGATGCTCCAGGCAGGAATGCAGACCATGGAGGACAGAGCCAGGAGCCAGCCCAGGGCATCCCCCCACCATGGGTAGGTGTACTTCTTGTTGTAGGTCAGCGGGGTGTACTTGATCAGGGAGAAGAGGAAGGTGGCCTGGGGGTGAGGGCAGAAGAAAGGCGCTGGGGGCTGTGCCCGGCTCTCTGCCCCACAGAGCGGCTGGCAGAGATCGTGCTCCAGGCCCGAACGTGCCTCCAGGCTGGTCGCAGCCAGTCGGCCTCCGATTTCCATCACGCTCTGCTCTCAGGGCACCCAGCAGAGGTTTCCAGGGCAAGCACCTCGTCACCCAGGGCTCCTGGCCCCTCTGTGCGTGATTGGCTCCCAATTAGGACATGATTGTGTGCCTGCTGGGTGCCTTCAAGTGTCTGCCTCTCCTGCACCAAGAGTTTGGGCTGTGAGTACCTCAAAGGCAGGGATCTTGCCTCCTTCTCCCCATTCCTCGACCACACCCCGCACACAGTGCAGGCTCGGGGACTGGTGACACGAAGGGAGGACACCAGAGGAAGCAGCACTTTGCCGTTTAAGGCTCACACCCTGGAGCCAGGCTGCCTGGGTTAGAGCCCCAGTTCTCTGCAACTTTCTGGGTTGAGTGAGCCACTTAACTTCCAAAGCCTTGGTTTCATCTGTGCAACAGGGGTAACAATGACACCTATGGCACAGGCCTTGCGAGGCCGAAAAGAGTTAATCCGTGTAAGCACTCTGTGCCCAGCCAGAGCAGGGGCCTCGTGAGTGCTGCTGCCCTCACTGCTGTGGGTAGTAGCACTGACAGGAGCTGCCCAGTGCCTGTGACGTTAGATTCCCACTGTGGAGTCGGTCGAACCGTCTGACAGCTCTGGAACTCAATTAATCGTGAAATAGAAAGGAGGAATCTATCTTGCTGTGGTGGTCTAGAATCCAACAGGAGGATGAATGGAAATCTAAGATGATTTTCCCTTCCTAGGGAGAAGTCCGCTCGAGGGCTCATGGCCTCTCTACCCTGCTACCGCCACCATGACTCCCTCCCTCCCTCTGCCTGGCTTTGTCCCTTGGGGATTTCCTTACTGTGCACACGGCTGGTGTGAGGAAGAGCCAGCAGTATCTGATAAGAGGCCACGGCCTGTACCCAATCATGTCTTCAATGTTGTCGTAGAAGCGCCGGGCTCCTACCATGGGGAGAAGGAGGGGGAGAGACCGTTCTCCAGCACCCACAGCGTCAGGATGGGGCCACACGCAGATAGGACGGGCAAGGATTGGCAGATAGAAGATATCACAGTTGTCTTTTCAAATCACCAACAGCAGGCAGAACTTGCCTTAGGTAAAGGCAAGTTGTTAAAAGCTGAAAAGGTTTGGGCAGGACAGGATATGTGCCTGACCACCTGAGGTGGTCTAGGTGCAGCTATAACCAGGACTGTGGGCAAGGTGACTTTTGGAGGGCCCTTCCAAAGGTAGCAATTTAGGAGTTTCAAGTGTTTGAGGTTGGGTAGAGGAGGAGTCCCAGGAAAACGTGGGTATGCGCAATGGATGTCTCTCTTCTGTCCAAGGGCCCTGGGTGGAGGAGAGTACTGGAGCTGGGGCCCAGGGGAGGAGTCACTCACCATAGACCCAAGCCACACAGAGGGACTCGAAGATGGCCACGAACAAGAGGCACATGCCGCTGGCTGCGTAGTAGTCGAAGAGCTGGAACACGTACATGCCGCCCTGCTCGGGGGAGAGTATAAAAGAAGGAAGTTTATCCAGAGAAACAGACAGATCCGCCCTATGCCCCTGACCCTCACACCACCGAGGCACAAAGCAGAGTCGGTGAGGATCAGAGGAGACAGATAATCAAAGAGAATGTGATTTGTATGCTGTACAATACTAGGCATATATGAGATGCTAACTTTTATTATGGGTTTTGGATGGAAGACAGATGAAATCAGACAGCTATAGTTAGTATCCCTGAGAATATTTAGGATTGAGCCAGAAGCCCAAGACATAGTGTGTACTCTTGGGGGAAGGATGAGGGAGGGTTGTCACTGGTCTCCTCCCTCCCCCCTTGAGCACACGCGGAGCCCCAGCCCAGGGCGCCCTTGCTCCCTTTGAAGTTTGTACACAGAACCTGGTGCCTTCTGCCTGGGAAGTCACGGGACCTTGCTGGAGAGGCCGTTTTTCCCAGTCTAGGCCTTCCCAGCCATCCTCGCCAAATGACCCTCACCCACCCCCAGAGGCAGGTGCCACTGCCCACAGGCCAGAGGAGGGACTTGCTCTTTGTCCTTTCTGTGGAGGGGAGAAGAGGGGCCCAGAAGGCTGCCCTGTGACCTGGAGCCACACATCTGCCCCGCCCCACAGGTGTTGCCACTTGGTCCCTCCTCCTCCCCACCGGGTCTCCTCCAGCCTCCCAGCCCGCACCTCTGTGAGCATGAGCAGCCCGACCAGGAAGGACATGACGGACACTCCGAGGATGAGGGTCTCCCTCCGGTTCTTCTTGCGGAACACACAGGGGTACATGTCCACCAGCGCTGTCACCAGGCTTTCAACGCATACAAACTGGTGAGAGGCAAGAGAATTGGAGGGAAAGAGAGCTCCCAGAACGAGCCCTGTCAACAAGCTCTGGCTTCTTGCCCCCAGGGCCAGCCCAGCCAGCCTCCCTGTCTCAAGTGCCCGGAGCTGCTGTCATCGAATGATTAGGGCTGGATGCACCCGTCAAGCTCCCGTGGGTCCCCAGAAGGGCATCCACTTCTGACATTTGCCCAGTCCCCACTATTTTAAGGTCCCTTGGGGCATAAAGCTCGACCTTGGGTGCACTGCTACGCTCCCCAGCCCCAGCCCGCTCGCCCACAGGCTCGGGATGGCCCCTCTTGATACCTGGCTGTCCAGTCCCAGGAGAACGACCATGAAGAAGAAACAGCAGGCCCAGAGAGGAGAGAAGGGCAGCATCACCACAGCCCGGGGGTAGGCGATGAAGGCCAGGCCAGGGCCTACAGCAGGAGAAAGAGGACAAAGCCCAGTGCCCGGGCCAGCTGCAGGCCTGGTGCAGCCCCATGGCTCCCCAGGGTGGGGCCATGGCACAGCAGGAGCTCGAGGAAGTGCCCCCCAAGTTACCGTTGCCACCACCACCCTCACCCAGATGCCACCAAACCTCCACCTAATTCCCAGCCCTCCTAGGCGCTATCTGCTGTATTCTCATTGGCAAGGACAGGACCTAGAGGTCATCGGTGTAAGGGGCTTTGGATCTAGGAGGGCTCTGCTCTCCAGAGCTACTGCCCCAAACAGAGGTTTCAAACTGGGAATGAGCTCAGGAGCCAGCAGCCCACCCAGTGCTGGCCACAGGAGGCTGCAGGAGCAGCCGCGCCCAGCGGGGCGTGTCACTTTGCCGGGTTCTAAAGTCTGCAGATGGCACCAGAGAAAAGACCCCTGAGGCCAGGTCTGGCCTGGGCCCTCGCTGTCTCTGTCCCCCAGTGAGTGAACTGGCACCCGTGTCAGAATGCCATTGACACACATCCTCTCAGTAAAGGAGTATTCCTCTCAGCTGACTCAAATGGTGGGAACACACTCGTACGCTCGAGCCTGGGTCTATTCATAGGAAGCCTAGGAAGCCGCCTCTGAAAAGCAGAGTGGGATGGTGGCCTTGGTGCTGTTCACTTCGTCAAGTCTCGCTTCGAACACAGTGAGACAGGACGAAGCTAGGGCCTCCCCCCAGTCTACATCGAAGAGCACAGGCAAAGTGACTCACACAGTGCTTGGCACATGGTAAGTGCTTGATAAAAGTGAGGCATCATCCTTTTTAGTAATGACCAGTAACGTCAGCTGCCCAGCGTGGCATTCTGTGTGGCAGGCGTGCGCCTGTGAATGCCATTATGAACAGCTGCCTTGCTACAGTGCAAAGGGGAGCGGTTCCCAAGAACAGGGCAAGAGCAGGGGAAGCACTTTGCAGCTTGTCCAGATGGGGGACGGGGCTTGGTTTTATTTAAAAGCAACCACGGCACTACAGGGTAGAAAGCCAGTCACTCAAAAAGGGAGAAACTCCATGTGCTGATGTAACTTATCTTGAGATACAGTTTAAAGGGAACAAGGCAAGGTGCAGAATAACATGCAGATTATGTTATCATTTGGTTTTTAAAAAGGGGTTGAGAAACAGAAATAGTAACATGCATGTATTTAAGTGTGTGTATATGTATTGTTTCTCATGTATGTCTAAACTCTTTCCAGAAGAATAAACAAGAAATTGATACCACTGACTACCTCCAGAGTAAGGCACTAGAACCAGGGACAGGGAGTGGACGTGGCTTGCGTGCCATCCACTCGTTGAAGCGGACACAACTGTCTAATTCTCCCCCAAGAATTCCCAGAACACATCGCTGACAGGTGGCCGCAGCTCGCCCAGAGTGCAGGTAACAACAGAAAGGCCTCTGGGTCCTGGTGCCAAAGGCTCAGACCAGGCCCTGCCCAGCCACACTCACCTGACTCGGCCACCTCAGCAATGGGCACCCCCTGCTCCTGAGACATGAAGCCCAGGATGGAGAAGATGGCGAAGCCAGCCACAAAGCTGGTGCCGCTGTTGAGGAAGCAGAGGGCGATGCAGTCCCTGGGGGCAGGGGAGGAGAGGCGGGGACAGGCGGTCAGAAAGGGGCTGTCAGCATCTCGGGCCTCCTGCCCCAGAGCCAGCAGGAGCCCTGGGTGTCCAGAATTCAGACGGCCATTCAGGGCACTGGTCCAGGGTGGGCTCTGCTCCACCTACACCACCTGGCCCCACTAGCTCGGACAAGGAATAAATCAATGTTGTCCTAAAAGAATGAGGCCTAAGGAAGCAAACCATGAATCTCAACACTACAAACTGCCACACAGCTGCCCCTCCCACCACACTGCCACCATGTCATGGGACACTGCCCCTCTGCCATAGTCTTGCTCAGTATCAAACATACACCTGTGTTCAGGGACACAGGTGGCCCTGAACAACAAAGAACTCCTAGCTGCCCCAATTTCGTTTTGAGGTGCACGGTATGATTTTTTTCAGCCATATTTCAGCTAATGTTAACATCAGCTTAAATTCTCTGGGCACGAGTGAAGCAGGCAGAAGGGAGCCATGGGGGACTTGAAGTGAGCAGGGAGGGAGCTGAGAGGTGCCGCGAAGACAGGGAGAAGTCAGGCTGCTGGCCGCCCTGGGGCCCTGGACGCAGACAGCAGGCTGAGCCGGTGCGGCCTCCAGCGCAGCCTGGTCTGGTGCAGCCGGGGGCGGGCGAGGGACACAGGTGCAGCTCGGGCCCCACTCCCCCGTCACCTGTAGCAGTTGTTGTGGTACTTGTTGTAGCTGCCCAGGGCCGTGAGGCACCCCAGGCAGATGGCAAATGAGAAGAAGATCTGGGTGCCCGCGTCCATCCACACCTACGGGGAAAAGGGAAGGAAGCCAAGCTCCGGGAGCACAGGCCCACAGGGACCAGGCGGGTGGCCGGGCTGGGCGGAGACCTGTTCTCAGCCGGCGGCCCTGGCACCCTGCTGGCCCTGCTGACTCCGTGGGCTCTGCTCCCAGCTCCCAGATGCATTTCCTGGGCACTACCAGAATGGAACAGGCATTAGAAATTCAAAGGAAATGACCCGAGGACCCGGCGGAGGCGTGTGGGGGGTGGCAGGCTGCCCTGGATCAGAGCTGGGCCTGCTGCCCACGTTTTGGTTGTGGATTCTGCCCTGCTTTCTGCTCCCCTCGGCTGCCCAGCAGGGCAGGAACCTGGCACAGCATCTCTAGGAATATGGGTCCTTAACACTGTAGCTGTCACGAGTGCGAGGCCTTGCGCCTCCTGTCTCAGAGCCCTCTCTGTGAAAAACAGGGAGCATAGCCCTCAGCTCACAGAAAGTCAAGAGGGCGAACAGAGACGCAGCTGGGAGGGCTTTGTACTCCGAGAGGGAAAGCAACTCTCCCCTAAACACAGGGTGTGTTGCTGCTGTTATCTCAGCTGGCCGGCCCAGCCGCGCATGTTATGATTTAGAGTCAACAGCTAGAATAACACCCCGAGAGAAAGAACATCAAGCAACAGAACAAAGCAGCCCTGCAGATCTGCAGGAGGTGGGGCCTAGCTGCGCATCCTCCCGCAGCACTGCCCCCTGCAGCAGACTCGAGCACCACATGGGCACAGTGAGCCGTGGACAAAGACGTGGCCAGGGCAGGTGTCCCTCACGTGTCTGAGTTCCTAACAGCAAGGGCGCCCAGAGCCCCCAGCCATGTCTCCTCCCTAACCCCACCCCAGCAGCCCCCAAACAGGGCCCTGCTTTCCATAGCCCCTCCGTCCTCGCCTCCTTCCCTTCCCCCAGCACCAAGCCAACAGTCCTCACACACCAAAGCCTCAGCCTTTCTCGTCCACGCACCTCACCCCTTGCCCGTCTTTGCTTTGCCTGCCTGACCCTCACCACTGCCCTCAGCCCTGCCCCAGCCCTGCCCCAGCCCCCTCTTTTTGCTCTTGTCCCTACCACATCACCCCCAGCCTCTACGGGGCTGGGGCCCAGAGACCCCTGGGCAGGCCGACAGCCTCAGGGCCACACTGAGTCCTCAGGGAGCTTCCCCGGCTGACATACTCACGCTCTAGGCCTGGAGGAGAACCCAGAAACCGAATCCTTTCAAAGAGCCCTGTGACCCTAATGAACAGCTGCTGTGGGACCCCTGCCCTAGCCCCTGAGAGCCAGCGTCAGGGAGGCACTTGGCCCTTCTCCTCTGGCTGCACTTCCACGTCTGCAGGGACGGGAAAGAGCAGGGAAGGGCAGTGGAGGGAAGGGGAGTATCTCCAGCATCTGTCCCTGTGCCCACAGCAGCCCCATTCTGGCGCCTTCTGCAGGGCAGGCCTTGCCACCAGGGAAAGGCAGTCCGTAGCAAGAAGCACAGAAGACTCAGAGGGGCTGGAGCAGCAAGGATATCGCCCAGAAGGGCAGAAGAACCAGGGAAACTTTTTTAAACATGAGGAAAAATTATGATGGGGAAGGGAGAGAGGGCTTCGGGATTTGCATCAGAAGTTAGAGAAGGAAGGGGTGGGAATGCAAGGCAAACCCAAATGACAGGCAAGGGGAGTGCTGGCAAAATTCAGCACGATGCCACACCAAGCTCAAGCAGATGCCTGGGCCAGTCTGTTTGCTCCTTCAAGAGATTTCAAATCCTTTTCTCTTCTAAAACTCTGCTGTGCAGGTCCTGTGAGGACAATCATCTCAGAGAGCCTCTGGCACGAAAGTCACTCTGTTCTGTCTTGTCCCTGCCTCCCTCAGCAGCACCTCGCAGCACAAGGCCCTGAGCTGGGACAGGAAGGGTTCCTGGAGTTGGGACGGACGGGCGGTGGGAAGAAACGCTCTCTCTGGGACTCACAGGTGATGTGCTGCAAGGCTCGGCAGTGTCTCCCAGCAAGTCACCGGGGGTGGCCTCAAGGACACATGCTCCCATGCCCAGTGGTGGGCAGGGTGCAGAGTGGGTCACAGTCCCACTGCCAAGTCATCGAAGATACTCTGCTGCCCACATGCAGGCAGGAGAGCAGCCCTGCGAGGATGAAGCTTTGTGAACCTGGGCTTGGGAAGAAGAATAAGAGAAATCATGACGTGGCTGTTCACCTCGCCCCGGAGGGGGCGGTGATGGGAGTGAGCTCAGACAGAGGCCTAGTGGGAGGAAGGTCAGTGAGAACAGAGGATGCAGCAGGAGGGCTGCGAGTTCAGAGCTCACGGGTTCCGGTGTGGGGCCTGTGGCCAAAGCCCCTGGCTGGGTGCTTGGCGAGCCCAGCTCTCAGTGCAGCTGCCGCCTGACAGGCCCGCTGGGCAGGCGGAGAGGCCGGGCACAGGGCAAGCAGGGCGGCTGTCCCGCTGCCGCCCGCTCCAGGGGCTCTGGTGTCTAGAACAAAGCTCTCATGTGCCTTTGGCTGGGGCAGAAGACCAGCCAAGGGAAAAACAAGTGTGAAAAATGCTCAGTGTAGTGGGGGGGAAAAGAAGTCTTTGGGGGAGAGAGGAGGAGAGAAACCTCTAGAAGATTCAGGAAAGATGTTTTCAGCTTTGAGTCTATCCCCCAGGATTATTAATATCTATCTACTATTTTTAGGAAGGCAATGGTGTGTCGTGGAAAAAGCATGGACTCTGGAGTCGAATTGATCTGGGCCCAATTCTTAACTTTACTAAATACTGGCTGTGTGATCATAGGCAAGTCACTCAACCTCTCTAAACCTCCCTTTTCTCATCAGAAAAATGGGTATAATAACAAATAAAATAATGTATGTAAAATGCCTAACAAATAAATATTCATTTTCTATCTCATCTTCTAGAATAACAAAAAGCAGCCCTTAAAACTCTCAAAATAATTCATATCCTTTGGTTAAGATCTATCATGATGATTAAGACAACAGACTTCAAAAGTCTACTTGGGATAAAACCAAAGCTCGCCCATATGCCAGTTTTGCGGTTCTGGGCAAGCGTCTTAAGTTTCCTGAGCCTCTGTTCCCTGTCCACCCCGACTCACAGGTCAGTCTGAGGGCTAAGCTGTGCCAGGCTCTCAGCAAGGTACCTGGCAAGTGACAGGTGCTTAATAGGTGTTAGCTTCGGCTGTTGTCTGTTGTTGCTTTCTTTTCCCTCACTCTTTTAGAAACAGGTCTCACTCTGCTGCGTAGGCACAGAGTGCAGTGGCCTCGAGCAAAGCCTAGGGTCACAGGTGTGAGCCTGCACCTGGCTTCTTGTTATTTTAAAAGGCAACTCACCTCTCAGTGATAATGAGGTGACATAGATCTCACTAGTAAAATAAAAGACTAGTTCTAGTCAATGATTTCAACCTCCTCCTTAAACAAATCTTTCATTAGAATTGCTTGACAAACGGATTTAAAAGTTTCAACAAGGCTCTCTGAGCACCATACTCCCACCCCTGCCCTTATCCATCTACCAAAGCACAGCAGAGCAGTCTCGAGTGAGGACACAGGAAAGAAACCGTGTTCCACACGGAGCACGCCCTGGGTAGGACAGCCCTGCATCTCCCGCACCCTCCCCAGTGCGAAGGGCAGGCCTGCGGACTTCAGGCGGCCACCTGCTCTGCTCTGGGCAGCTGGGAAGATGGGGAAGCGGGTAAGGCAGCATTCTCCCCGCCTGGTCCCCGGCTCCTGGCCTTGTGCCTGGGAGAGAGAGATGGCTTTGGTCTATGTGTTGGTGAGCAGGAATCTTGCAGCTTTCCCAAGTGCCAGGCAAATGCCAGTTGGAATTGTCGCACCCCCCAGGGAGTGCCAACCAGATTCAGTTGGGGCTCTGGCAGGGCGTCCCCACCCCGCAGGTGCTGCTCTGTCCTCTGACTACAAAGGCCTCACCCCAGCGTGGGGCCGGAACCAGGCAGATAAAAAAGCTGCTTAGAAACTTGGGACCAGGCCTGGCTCTCAAAATATCTCCCTCCCCACAGTCTCAAAGCACTTGGAAGACTTCCACTCCCTCACAGCCTACAACTGGCTGGAATTAGAAGGGTGGTACCCTGGAGTGCAGACTAATGGCCCTATTCCCTGCAGTCACTCGGAACAGGATTACGGCCTTATTAACTCTCAGAGTGGAAGGCTACCTGGTCCACCTGCTTCCTATTTACTGGAAGCTGTCACACACCAAACACTGCACCTAGAACAGACCTAGCACATAACAGATGCTCAACAAACATCTGCCGGATGAATAAGCTATGAGGGGAACAAGGATGAGCAGACAGGGACCTGGTCTTCAAAAGGAGACCATAAGGTATATGGGGCTTGTCATTGTGCAGATCTGGTTCCAGCTGCAGGTGTGAGGATGGAAAATTCTTTAAGCTCACTAGGCCCTAATTTCCTTACCTACAAATGGGATGCCTCATTGGTCTGCCATGAGGGTTAGCTGAAATAATGCAAATAAACCCCTTAGTAATGCCAGGGACAGAATAAGCACTTGACAGTCACTGGCTGTAAGTAGCTGATCAGGACAAAGCCATAGATCAGTTCTAGAAATACTGAGCCCCTGTGTTCCTTTTTTTTTTTTTTTGAGACAGAGTCTCACTTTGTTGCCCAGGCTAGAGTGAGTGCTGTGGCGTCAGCCTAGCTCACAGCAACCTCAATCTCCTGGGCTCAAGAGATCCTCCTGCCTCAGCCTCCCGAGTAGCTGGGACTACAGGCATGTGCCACCATGCCCGGCTAATTTTTTCTATATTTAGTTGTTTGGCTAATTTATTTCTATTTATAGTAGAGACGGGGTCTTGCTCTTGCTCAGGCTGGTCTCAGACTCCTGGGCTCAAGCAATCCTCCCGCCTGGACTTCCCAAAGTGCTAGGATTACAGGGGTGAGCCACTGCACCCGGCCAAAATACTGAGCCCCTGTATTCTTTCTCCCTTCCAGCCCACCTGCCTGTGTCCTGCCTGATCACACCTCCTTCCTCTCAGGTCCACCTGCAAACGAAGGTGAGCTTTGTAGCTCCGCCATTGGAGCACAGCTCTGCGGTGCCAAGACCGCAGTAGCTCTCTGCACGTGGGTCCAGGCTGACTCCTCACTGGGCCTTCACAGCCTTCCCTAGCCTCTGCTCCCTGCCACCTGCTCTCCATCACAGCCCTTTGGTTCCAGAATAGTAAAGAGCTCATGATTCACAAAACAGAAGCTCCCTTTGCTTGGCCTGGCACTCACTTGCTGTGTGACCTTGGGTCACAGTTTGCTCATCTGTGCAAGGAGGAGTTGCACAGCCGATCTCTGAGGCCCTTCAAGCTGCAGCTGCTGTGGTTCTACAGTTGGCTCAAAGCCTGCCACCGCACAGACGTGAGGTAGTGGCAATCTGTAGCTTCGTAACGTATAGCAAATGGGAGGGGAGAAGCATAAGCCTATATCCCACCAGAAGATTGCTGAGAAACTTCCAGGACTGAGGCCACAGAGGTCCCAGTGGAACTCAGCTTGGAAGAGTCACAACCTAGGCAGGGACAGTGGGAGGCCTGAGCACCTTCAGCTTCCGGATAGCCTGAGCCTCTGCACGGAGAGCCACAGCCCCTGTGTGGGCTCTGGGCTGTGTGCCCACCCTTCCTCTTGCCCCATCAGCAGCTTCAGTGACTGTGACAGTGCCTTACTATTCCAGAGTGTTTGGAAAGCCACCCAAGCGTCTGTCTTCTGTGTCCTGGGAGCTGCCGCCCTTACGTGAGCCAGAGAGACTCTTCCAACAGCCGAGCGGAGGATCTCTATTGCACACATGGTCCCCAGGGAGGGTGGGCTCTATACCCAGGAGTCAGAGGACAGTGCCTAAGTGGGCAACAAAATTTCAGGGGCTCTGGGGTGGAGCTTGGCCACACTCTGTGCCTCCTGCCTTTGCCAGCTTTCGAGTGGCTGCCACAAAGGAAAAAAGGAGAGGCCTGTCGGAGGAGGCAGGGGAGTCTCACTCTGGCCCTCGCTCCACGAACCCTCCTCTGGGAGAGCAGCGCCCCGCCCAGCCACGAGGCATGGCCGCAGAGGGGCTGCAGACTGCAGAGGAGGAGCCTCCTGACAACTGGCGGGACACTCAGCACCCTCTCACTGCTGGAGGGAGGCCAGGGAGCCAGGCCTAGGGCCGAGTTCCGTGGGCAGAAGGAGGCGACAGTGGCAGGTTGGAGGGTGAGAACTAGACCGGAGACTCGCAGATGAGCTCGCCAGAGAAAGTACAGGAAGGGCGCGGGGAGACGGTGGGGAGGCTGTCTGTGCACGTCTGCAGCCCTGAGAGCTGCTGACACAGGTCTGGAGAAGGAAGCACTCGCCCCCCGGCATGCCCTGGGGTAGGGCCAGGAACAGGGCCTCCCCACCAGAGCAGGGGAGCTTGTGCCCCCCAGAGCCACGCGCCAGCCCGGTCCTTGGCTCCTTACCTGGGGGTCCCACAGGCGCGTGAGGTTTGGGTACAAATAAAACTGAATTCCTTGGGCTGCTCCGGGCAGCGTCACCCCTCGAATTAACAGGACCACCAGCATGAGGTAAGGGAAGGTGGCTGTGAAGTATACCACCTGGCCAGGACACAGGAGGGAGGGTCAGGAAGGAGGCGGGGACGGAACTCCTCAGAAAGGCCAGGGCTCAACCCCCCCTGCTCCCTCCCTCTCCCCCCACAGCTGCCCGGTCCTAGCTCCCTAAGCCTCAGAGCCACAGCCTCCCTCATCCTTCCTCCCTCCAGCTTACAGTCCTAGTCTCTCCCAGACACATATTCAGTAAGCTTTTGTTGAGTGACTAAATGAACTTAGACATTCTTCCAGCTAGTGTGCTTGGAATGATGGCAGGGGCTGTCAAGTATGGCAATATCTGTATCACATGGTCCCCACCCTCACAAAGATTACTAGCTCAGCACAGCCAAGCAGCCTGATTAGGAAGGAATCTGTCAGAGGCCTCCAGGACACAAGTCCAGAAGAATTTAGAATGCCCTGAACACCTCATAACCTCTAGGGCAGGGAGTACCCCAAAATTCTTGAGTTGGGAGAGAATCATTTTGAGATAACTAGTCTTAATGGAATTCTTTTTCCAAAGAACTGTTACAGGAAACAGGGAACCAAGAACAGTGTTCAGTGTGCAATGTGCCCACACATGTTGGATACTCCAAGACCAAATTCCCCTGGGGTGTCCCCTCCTGCCTTTCTCACCCTCTTCCACTTCCTCTCCCTAAACACTGGAAGTGCTCGGGACTGAATCCGTGAGAGGCACAGAAGCAAGGAAGGGAGTAACAGGAAACCTCCGCTGGGTCACTCCCTTCCACCCCTGACGAGGCCCCAACTTAGGGCACTCCCGGGGGGGGCAGATGCTCGCCACACAGACCTTGCCCGTGGACTTGACCCCCTTCCAGATGCAGAAGTAGCAGGCGACCCAGGCGAGCAGGAGGCACAGGGCCAGCTCCCAGCGCAGGGCCCCCAGGTGCTGGATGCCATCCGAGATCTTCAGGACCCGCCGCCTGGGGAGAGAAGGGTGGGCCCGGCTGCACCTTTGCTGCCGGCCTCAGTTCGCAGGTGGCTGCGTGCTTCCCGGCTCTTGTCCAAGGCCTGTCGGCTCTCTCCCCAGCCCCTGAGGCTGTCCTCGTGCAGAGACAGAGGCAGACACAGCTCTGTCCCAGGCATGTTTGCTCTGGGTGCTGGCTTCTCTGGGGGAGGAGAGGCACACACGCATTTTCTCAACCAGGGCTTTAGGGTGTTTTCGTACCAGGAATCAAGCTGGGTGAACATGGGTACTTGGGCGGGAGGGTGGACAGTGGCCACACACAGCCGCCAGGAGGAGGGAGCCAGGAGAGCGGACGCGGCCGGCGCATGTGGCAGGGCGAGGCGGCACGTGGGTGAGCCAGGGGCAGGCCTGGCCCAAGAAGAGCTGCGGGGTTCTCGCCTCTGAAGCCAGTCCTGCGAGAGCCACAGCACAGGCCCCACAGGGAAGGCCATTGGTGACTTTCTAGGGCTGGCGAGGCTGCGGCCGAGGTGGCCTGCACCCAGCCCGCGGGCCTGGGGAGGGGCTGCACTTACTCCCAGAACTCGATGACAGGCGAGGTGGCGTTCTCAGAGGTCAGGTTCAGAGAGCCGTTGGTCTTCTGGAACTCCACACAGCGCTCTGCAGGTGGCGGGAGGGACAGGGGCCGTCACTGGTGCAGCGGGAGCGGGTGGGACTTGGGGCGCGGGAGGGAAGGCGGTGGCGGTGGGAGGCCGGGACACTGCAGTCTGCACAGAGAGCCTCACGCAAGACCTCAACTGGCCTGCCTCGCCCTCTCCCGCACCCTCTGAGACGGGGTTCATGGGGGTTCGGTGCACACTTCATCACGGCACGCGACCGCCGGGGGACGCACACCGAGACTTCCCGGTGAAGCCGCGACCTCTGGGAATGCGCGTGCCTGCCGGGAAGCCGCTGTCGCTGCCCAGAGCACGGGCTGAGAGCTCTGGCCTGATCAGCCCCTCTGGGCATTGACTGCCGCCTTGGGCACGCCACAACTTAGTTCTCTGAGCTTCGCTGCCCTCAGCCCTAAAATGTAGATGAGAGTCTCCATCTTGCAGGGGGTTAAAGGAAAACATGAACGTACAGTGTGCCATCGATGGAGCTCTCTAGTATTTGCATGTCACGGTGGAGTTTTTCAGAGTGCTGACATTCTTTCTATATTTTATTAGTGCAATAGTCCTGTGGGCTGGGACCCAGGCCAGCAGATTTTCTTGGCCCTACCTGCAACACATCTAGACTCTGAGCCTTCTTGTCACTTCTGCTGCAATCACCTGGTGCAGGTCACCATTGACTCTTGGCTCCCACCTGGCCTCTGGTTTCCGCCCTTGCTCCCCTGTCAATCCTCTTACAGCAGCCAGGGTGACTGTTAAAGCTCCGTCACTTTATGTCACATCCCAGCTCAAAGCCGTCCCCTGGGTTTACCACCCCACTCAGAAAAATTCTCAGACCCCTTCAGTGGCCTTCAAGGCCCTGCCGATCTGTTCCCAACCCCTCTGGCCTCACCTCCCACCACGCCCTGTGCCCACCTGCTCTAGCCACACCGGCCTGTGCCCTGCAGCCGCAAGTGCGCCGCCCCAGGGCCTGCTGGGGAGCTCCCTCTGCAAGCACAGGCCGGGCTCAGTGGCTCCTCCCTCCTGGAGATTGGCACTCAAGGGGAGCCTCAGTGAGGCCTTTCCTGGCCATTCTTTTTAAAGTCACAGCCCCACCCCTGAAACTCCCATCCCTGTTTTACTTTTCTCCATAGCACTTCTAACGTGACACCTGTTACTCATGTTGTTTGTGGTCTGTCTCCACCGCTAGACTGAAAGTTCCAGGAGCGTGGGGAGCCTGTGGCTGTGCCCCCACCTCAGGGCCTAGAACAGAGCCTGGCACACAGCGGGCTCGGCTAAGACCCACCAACCACAGCACTCCTGCCCAGGAAAGCGGCGTTTCGTCGCGACAGGACAGGACGTCCTGCGCTAGTTGGAGGCCAGGCCTTGAGCAGAGCCAGACTCACTGGAACAAATGTCAAGAATGTCAAAAAACAAAAGATTCAGGTGTTGCCTCCGAGGGTCTCAGAGACCCCAACAACCCAAGGAAGATAGGCCCAATACTGCCCTGAAGCAAAAGCTCTAGACCACCAAAAATTACAGATTTTTCAAGAGGACCCTCCCCACCCCCGCTGAGATCCGGATAAAATCTTCCCCATCTTCACCCTGGTTGTCAAGGGTGAGTAGAATGAAAGAAAGAAAGACAGAGAGAGAGAAGGGAAGGGAAGGGAAGGGAAGGGAGGGAAGGAAGGGAGGGAAGGGAAAGGGAAGGGAAGGGAAGGGGAAGGGAAGGAGGAAGAGGGAAGGGGAAGGGAAAGGGAAGGGGAAGGGGAAGGGGAAAGGGAAAGGAAGGGAAGGGAAGGGAAGGGAGGACAGGAAGGGAAGAGGAAGGGGAAGGGGAAAAGGGAAATATATAAAGTTTAAAAATGAGAATAAAACTGCTTTTTAAATCTTCATTCAACAAATGTTTGTGAGTGCTTATGAGGCGGCCATGGCTGGCCAGGTATAAAGACAGAGAGATAAAGAGCCTCCTGGCCCTCAAGGTCTTGCTGACTGGGGGGAAAAGCAAGTCGAGAGACACACAGAGGCCATAGGCCAGGTGCGGTGGCTCACGCCTATAGTCCCAGAACTGTGGGAGGCCGAGGTGGGAGGATCTCTTGAGGACAAGAGTTGGAGGCGGCTGGGAGCTGTGCTGAGGCCACTGCACTCTAGCCTGGGCAACACAGTGAGATCCTGTCTCAAAAAAAAAAAAAAGACAGGCATAAAATGAGGAGGTGCCGCAGGCCAGTGTAGGGACTAGCAGAAACACCTGACGAAAACAGAATGCAGTCTTGGGGCATCAGGGGAGGCAACTCCAAGATCTGACTTTTCGCTTGAACACCAGTGTCGGAGTGGAGGTGGTGGCAGAGAGGTGCAAGCAGTGCTGAAGGGAGCTAATGCGTGAGGCAGGAGATGCAGGGCTGAAGTAAGGGCCCGCAGGGGCCAGGCTACAAAAGGATACAGGAAACCAAACTCCAGACCGGAGCTGAGTAACTTATCTGGGCAAGAAAGGGTTAATCATGGTAGCCCGATTCACAAGGGCAGGGCCTCCGTGGCAGGCACTGAGCAGGTTTGGACATGAGCGCGGCCACCCGCTGAGAACGCACACAGAACAGTGCCCACATGCTCTCCACCCTGCTGCCCAGGAGGGAGCCACTACCCGCATGTGGCCATTGGAGTTCAGGGTAAAGAAAAGATTTAAAGTTCTGCTCCTCAGACGCACTGGCCACAGTGCAAGTGCTCCATAAGTGTTACAAGCACAAGAGAAACTACCATGCTTCCCCGAAAATAAGCCCTAGCTGGATGTCTAAGCATTTGTGCAATAGAAGCCCTGCCCCGAAAATAAGCCCTAGTGACGGGCGTGGCCACACCGCGTATCTGCACAACCCACGCGTGTCGTCGCGGAGCAGTAAAGACAAGCAGCCCTTCTCATCTGCCCCATGAGAGCTCTACTGCTTGGCTTGAGAGATTGGGTAAAGGAAATAGAATCGCAAGAAATTCAGGATGGAATTCGGGGTTTGGAGAGTGATGATGATGGTCCAGAAGAAGATGACTTCACTATATTTGAATAAATGTAGATTGCTGTACCGTACTTAAAAAAATAACACATCCCCTGAAAATAAGCCCTAGGTGTCTTCTTGAGGAAAACGAAATATAAGACCCTGTCTTGTTTTTGGGGAAACACGGTAGTCATGCGTTGCATGACGATGTTCCAGTCAACAGCAGACCGCGTATAGGACAGTGGCCCCATGGGATCATGATACAGTATTTTCACTGTGCCTCTGCTGCGTCTAGATACAGTTAGAGACACAAATACTTGCCATTGTGCTGCGCTTGCCTGCAGGATTCAGGGCAGTGACATGCAGGTAGCCCAGGATAAGGGGCTGCAGGCACAGCCTAGGCGCACAGCAGTCCACGCCATCTGTGTGTGTCAGCCACACTCTGTGACACTTGCACAGTGACACAATCACATAGGATGCATTTCAGTGTCCCCTTTGTTAAGTGACACATGATAAGTTCCAGTTGACCCTTTAACCACACGGGTTTGAACTCTGAGGGTCCACCTACATGCAGATTTCTCTTCTGCCCCTACTGCCCATGAGGCAGCAAGCCCAACCAACCCCTCCTTTCCCTCCTCCTCAGCCTACTCAACCTGAAAACCGTGAGCACAGAGACCTTCATGATGATCCACTTTCTCTTAATGAATAGCAAATATATTTTCTCTTCCTTAGGATTTTTCTAATGACATTTTCTTTAGCTTCACTGTAAGAATATAGTATATATGCGTTAGCAACTGTTTGTGTTATCAGTAAGGCTTCCAGGAAACAGCAGGATATTATTAGTAAAGTTTTAGGGGAGTCAAAAGTTATACACAGATCTTCTGCTGTGGGGTCAGCAGCCCTAAGCCCCGCACTGTTCAAGGGTCACCGGTATATTGATGACCCATAACACAGTCCATGCCCTGGACGAAGTCCAGATGAATTGTGAGTTTGAAAGATCTAAATAGTATCAAAAAGAAGATATGAAAAACAAATAAATGAACAAAAAATATATCCAAATGTCAAACTAACCATATTTCAAATTGATTTAAATAAACGGCTACACTACATTAAAAAGAAGTCAGTTCTATTTGCATAGCATATGAGTTGAACACGTCAATTTCTTTTTCTAAACCAAGTCTGTGACACTTTGCCTGTGGTGCTGGCGAGCTGGCTCTACCGTGGCATGAGCTCTCCATGGCCTGCCAGCGGCTTCCAGTGCGGCCCGCGTTGCGGCTGCAGATGGGGTTGCCTGGGACATGAGGACAACCCACTCTGGGCACTGTGGTGGAGCAGCAGGAGCAAGTGACCTGGGCGCAGACCTCACCTGTGTTCCACTCGTGGCGGCAGCTGCCCCAGGGCAGGTCGCTGGTGAAGCTGCTGAAGAGGTAGAAGAGAGCCCAGGCCAGAACGATGATGTAGTAGAAGTTGAGCAGGACGACGATCATCTGGGAGGCGTAGCCGATGCCTGCGGAGAGACTGCAGGTGGGCTGGGGACAGAGGCGGGGCTCCCGCGCACGCCCTCGCTGTCGGGAGTGGGTCTGACCCACTGTGCGCGTCCCAGGCCTGGCTCTCTCCCTCCCCCAGCACCCCAGCCCCTGCCTCCTGTGCCCGCCAGCCCTCCCCATCGTCACCAGGTTCTGAAAGCTCGCTGATTCAAGATGATCTTTAAAATGTGTAAGACTAACTCCAAGATACCAATAGTTAATGTTCCTCAGGATGAGTCTGATTCATTTCTTAAATATCAAAACCCAAGTTAAGAGCAGGGACAGACAAGTCACATAGGAGAAAATATGGACAGTGAATATCCTCTTAATAATTGTAGATGTGTTAAATGAAACAGTAGCGAGATGCCATTCTGCATCTTACAACCTTGGTGCACTGTCTTTACAGATGATATAACACAGTGGTTTCCAGACTTGTCTGTACATTAGAATTACTGGAGATTTGCAAAATTCCAAAGCCCAGGCCAGACCTCAGACCACTCATTAATAAATCATACTCTCTGGGGATGGGGCGCAGGTCAGGATATTCTGAAGGTCCTCAAGGGATGTCAATGTGCAGGCAAGTCTGGAAACTGCTGACAGAACCCAAAGCTGCTAGCGATGGGGGTGAGATGCCTGCTCACGAGAGCTGACACTGTGATCAGTGTAACATGCCCGCAGGACAATTTTATAAACCAGATCAAGAGACAGCAACTAGATTACCCATTTGCTCCAGTAATTCTAATCCTGGGAATTTATCCCAAAGAAATAATTCCAAAAGGGAGTGCAGCTATCTGAACACATATACATGACAGCAAAATACAAAATTTTATAAGTAATTGAAAATAAGCAAAAAGCCCCAGAGAACTGTTAAGTAAATTATGATATATCCAGCTGATGGAAGTTTATACAACCATTAAATGGTTATTGTGTAGAAAATGGAAAATAAAACTAACCAGAAAAAAGAAAACATAAAATGCATATTCCATATTAATAGATATACAAACTCTGTAGAAAGAGAAAGAAACTGGAAGCACCCCAAACACTCCTCCATGGGTGAATGGTTAAACACACTGTGGTACAATCATGCCATGGAAAACTACCCAGCCACAGAAAGGAACAAACTATTGACACACCCTGTGACCTGGACAAGTTCATGGATCTTAAGGGCATCATGCAGAGTGAAAAAGCTGATCTTAAAGGCTTACAGACTGTTTGAGTCCATTTATGTAACATTCTCAAAATGACAAAATCAGAGAGCCAGGGAGCAGATGGATCAGTGGTTGCCACAGGTCAGGCAGGGGAGGGTCTGGCCACCACGCAGCAAGGTCTCTGTGGAGACGGGGCACTTGTGTCTTGACTATGGCGGTTGTACAGACCTACACATGTGATGGCATCGCACGGCAGTTCACACACACACATGAGTGCATGGGAGGCTGGTAACATCTGAGTAAGGTCTGTGGAAAGTACTAGTGACAATTTCCAGGTTTGATACTCTACTATAGTTACATTAGATTGGATAAAACTGAGTGAAGGGTACACAGGACCTCTCCATACTATTTTTGTAAATTCCTGTGAATCTATAATTACTTCAAAATAAAAACTTGAAGAAAATCCTCTAGAGAAAGAGAAATAATGAAATAAAATACACTTAATTTTAAATACTATGTCAAGATGGTAGAACTGTTAATGACATAATTTTTTCTCATTTAAAATTCTCTTTTAAAATATTTTAGAATTGTCTTTAAAATACAATCACTGCTGCATTATATATATATATATATTATATATATATATATATATATAGCTAAAATAGCTTTACATTCTACTTATTTAACCTAAAGCCTTGGCCCCATTCTCAGATGGACCAGGTGATTAGCTCAGTATTCGGCCACAAGCCAAGAGGCACAGAGTCTTCTCTTAACCTCAGAACTGCTGCCAATCGCTGAAGTCATTCTACATAAAGTTTACAACCACTAATAAGGGTAGCCCAGAATCAAGCACAGAACTACTCACCCTCAAAGATGGGGCAGATCTTCCTCCAGGCTGTGACGCCTCCCTGGCTAGTGTACTGGCCCAGTGCTGTCTCCAAAAGGAAGACAGGAATCCCACAGGTGAAGAGGAAGATGAGGTAAGGGATGAAGAAGGCACCTGTGGGTAGAAAACAGGCCATCCATGGCCTGGCACTCTTCTCTCCATGGCCCGCATTTGCCTCCTCCCGTGCCCACTGCACGCTGCCAGCCAGAGCCCTGGAGGTGGGGGACATGCAAAACTGCGGGACACGTCTCTCTGGATGTCTGTAGCCACAGCAGGAATCCCGAGTCACCAAGTTGCCCAGGATCGACACAGTCTTGTGCTTCGTTTCACTGCGACATTTCAACCTACATCTACCAAGGTTTGCTCCCCACCAAACGTCACCTACTGCCTAACAACACATGACTGTGGCAATGGCAAGGCCCTTGTTAAATATGGATATCCAGGAGCACCAGCACAGCCTACAGTCTGTAATTTTTTTCAAAGAAATGATTGCTCTTAATCTCAGAAAAGGACTTTGGCAGGCTGAAATGGGTTTCCCTTTAGTAATTGCTATGGTTTGAACGTATCCCCCACCGTTCAAGTGTTGGAAACTCAACCCCAAATGTAACAGTGTAGGGAGCCGGGGCCTAGTAAGAGGTGATTAGATCATGAGGGCAGAGTCATCACAGACGGATACTGTCACTGTGAGCATGAGCGTGGGTGTGTTATGCAAGCAAGTCTGGTGCTCTCTCTTGCCCTTCCGCCTCTGGCCATGGGGTGACACAGCACAAAGTCCCTCACCAGATGCGGACTCTGACCCTAGACTCCCCAGTCTTCAGAATCACAAGAAATAAATCTCTGCTCTTTATAAATTACCCAGTCTCAGGCATTCTGTTATAGCAACACAAAACAGACTAAGACAAGACAACAATCTTTCTGCTTCTGTTTTCATGATCATTGGCTAAGACAAGATTACTGAAGCCAGAAATTCTGGTATTTTTTTCTACCACAGACCTTCATCTATGGGCAAAGTGGACAGAGGAACCCATAGGATCGAACACCAGGAAAGAGAGAGCTATGTGGGGAGGGGTATCTGCAGAGGATCTCCCTCCACCTTCCAGCCAAGGATTGGTCACTGCAAAGGTGTGAGGAGACTACTCACAGTGAGGGGAAGAACCACCCCAAAGATAAACAGTGCGCACACAGTGCCTGTTCCCACAACCCAGGCCAAACAATCTCGAGATTCTCTGGGCAGAAGGTCATTTCCTCAGTAATGGGGAATAATGATTCCTAGACTGAACACTTCAGTCCTACCTCACAAACCTTAAATGCAAGATGCAGAAAGATCAACTGACTTCACTGATCCCACAATAAAGCTCAAAAACATTCACATAAATATAAGAATATCTAGCAACAAATGAGGCAAAAAAATCACTATATCTGGCATCCAATCAAAAATTACCAGGAAAGCATAGAAGTGGGAAAACATTACCCATGATGAGTGGATATATCAATCAATTGATCCTGACTCATAACTTTCACAGATGTTAGAATTATCAGAAGAGGATATTTAAAAAGTTCTTATAACTGTATTGCATATGTTCCAAAAGTAAGATAGAGACATAAAAGATCTTGAAAAAGATCCAAATCAAACTGCTAGAAATGAAAACTATGATGTGTGAGATATAAAATGTACTGGATGGGATTAATGTCAGTAGACATAGCAGAAGAAAAGATTAGTGAACTTTAACCATAGTAGAAACTATCCAAATAAAACACAAAGAGAAAAGAGAATGTTTTAAAAAGAATGGATGTCACTAAGCTCTGGGATAACTTTAAGTAGTCTAATGTACTTGTAATTAGAGTCCCTGAAGGAAATAAAAGGTTCAGAAATTTTTGAGGAAACAGTGGCTGGAAATTTTGCAAATTTTATGAAAACTATAAACCTATAGATCCAAGAAGCTCTACAAACACCAAGACAAAAAACATGAAGAAAGGCCGGGCGCGGTGGCTCACACCTGTAATCCTAGCACTCTGGGAGGCCCAGGCGGGCGGATTGCTCAAGGTCAGGAGTTCGAAACCAGCCTGAGCAAGAGCAAGACCCCGTCTCTACTATAAATAGAAATAAATTAATTGGCCAACTAATATATATATATAAAATTAGACGGGCATGGTGGGGCATGCCTGTAGTCCCAGCTACTCGGGAGGCTAAGGCAGAAGGATTGCTTGAGCCCAGGAGTTTGAGGTTGCTGTGAACTAGGCTGACGCCACGGCACTCACTCTAGCCTGGGCAACAATCGAGACTCTGTCTCAAAAAAAAAAAAAAAACATGAAGAAAACTAAACCAGGGGACATTATACTTCACATCATTGAAACCAGTAATAAAGAATTTTTAAGGGGAAATCTTACCAATAACCAGACACAGGGGCAGGGGAAGACATATATGTACAGAAGAAAAAGGACAACGATAACATTAAATTTCTCACTGGAAACAATGCAAGAGAGAAGACAGTGACAGGGGGCCACATTTATTAAAGTACTAAAGGAAAAGGCTGCCAACCTGGAATTCTAAACCCAATAAAAATACTATTCAAAAATGAAAGGGAGGCTGGGCCCAGTGGCTCACGCCTATAATCCTAGCACTCTGGGAAGCTGAGGCAAGAGGATCACTCAAGGTCAGGAGTTCAAAACCAGCCTGAGCAAGAGCAAGACCCCGTCTCTACTAAAAATAGAAAGAAATTAATTGGCCAAATAAAAATATATAGAAAAAAAAAAGTGAGCCGGGCATGGTGACACATGCTGATAGTCCCAGCTACTTGGGACTCTGAGGCAGAAGGATCACTTGAGCCCACAAGTTTTAGGTTGCTGTGAGCTAGGCTGATGCCACGGGACTCACTCTAGCCCGGGCAACAGAGTGAGACTCTGTCTCAAAAAAAAAAAAAAAAAAAAAGGGAAATAAATGCTTTTTCAGACATGTAAAACCTGAAAGGATATATCATCTGCAGACCTGCACTACAAGGATTGTTAAAGAACGTCTTTCAGGTAGAGGAAAATGATAACTCCACATAGAAATATGGATCTAGCCAAAAGAATAAGGGCCCTTAAGGCTGGGCGTGGTGGCTCACGCCTGTAATCCTAGCACTCTGGGAGGCCAAGACCAGCAGATCGCTCAAGGTGAGGAGTTTGAAACCACTCTCCAATATACATAGAAAGAAATAAATTGGCCAACTAAAAATTATAGAAAAAATTAGCTAGGCATGGTGGCACATGCCTGTAGTCCCAACTCCTCGGGAGGCAGAGGCAGAAGGATCACTTGAGCCAAGGAGTTTGAGGTTGCTGTGAGCTAGGCTGACGCCATGACACTCTAGCCTGGGCAAAGAGTGAGACTCTGTCTCAAAAAAAAAAAAAGAATAAGGGCCTTTAGAAATAGTAACTACATAAGTAAATATATGAAAATATTTTTCTTAGTATTCAAATATCTTTAAGATAATTGACTAGTTGAAAATATTTAGTTAAACAAAAATAATAACAATGTAATGTGGAGTTTATAACATATGAAAAAGTAAAATGTCTAAGAGCACAAAGGTCAAGAGGAGAGGAAGGACAGTACTATTTTAAGGTTCTTATATATAAAGTGGTATAATATTACTTAAGGATAAACTGTGATAAGTTAAAGATGTATACTACAAAGTCTGAAACAACCACTAAAATAACTTAACAAAGAGTTATGACTGGCCAGGCACAGTGGCTCATGCCTACAACCTTAGCACTTTGGGAAGCTGAGTTGGAAGGACTGCTTGAGGCCAGGAGTTCGAGATCAGCCTGAGCAACGTAAAAGGACCCTGAGTCTATTTTAAAAAATTAGCTAGGCATGGTGGTACATGCCAGTAGTCCCAGCTACCCAGGAGGCTGAGGCAGGAGGATTGCTTGAGTTTGAGATTGCAGTTAACTATGAGCATGCCACTGCACTCTAGCCTGGGCAACAGAACAAGACCCTGCTCAAAAAAAAAAAAAAAAAAAAAAAAAAAAAAGAGGTATGACTAATAAGCCAAAAAAGTAACAAATCTAACAATGGGTTAATAAAAAATATTCAATTAATCCAAAAGAGAGCAAAAAGAGAGGAAAGAGGAACAAAGAACTGATAACACAAATGAAAACAAATAGTAAGATAATATATTTATACCTGACTATATGGATAACTGTATTAAATGTAAATGGTCTAAATATCCCAATTAAAAGGAAGATATTGTTAGATTGGCTTTTAAAAAAAACTAGCAAGATTCAACTATATGCTACCTAAAAGAAATCCACTTCAAATTTAAAAAAACATGAAGAGGTTAAAAGTAAAAGGATGAAAAATATATACCATTCTAATACTAATCAAAAGAAAGCTGGAGTGTTTAATATCACACAAAGTAGATTTCAAAGCAAAGAAGTCTACTAAGAGTAGACAAAATCATTTCATAATGATCAATGGATCAATTCATCAAGAGGACATAATATCCTAAATACGTATTCACCTAATAACAGAGCTTCAAAATATATGAAGCAAAAACTGATAGAACTTCAAGAAGAAATAGATAAATTCCTAATTAAAATCAAAGATTGTAAGATCCCTCTCTCAATAATTTATAGAATAAGTAGAAAATGATATAAAAGACAGAAAGAAGACAGAAAAGGATAAAAATGATTTGAAAACCTTACCAAGTGACTTGACATAGTTGATATTTATTGAACATTCTATCCAACACAAGAGCAAAATATACACTTTTTTCAAGTGTACATGGAATATTCACCAAGATAGGCCATATCCCAGACCACAGAACAATCTGAGTAAGTTTGAAAGGATTCAAGCCATACAAAGTATGTTCTGTGACTAAATTAGAAATCAATAAGAGGGAGACATTGGAAAATGCCCATATATTTGGAAATTAGGTAACACACTTCTAAAATGACCCATGGGCCAAAGGAGTAATCAAAACAGAAATTAGAAAGTATTTGTAATGGAATGAAGTGAAACACAATGTATCAAAATTTGTGGAATGCTGATAAAGCAGTATTTAGGGGGAGATTTATACCCCTAAATGGTTATTATTAGAAAAGAAGAAAAGTTTCAAATCAATTACCTCAGCTTC